CCTTGTATCTGCTTCTGTGTTGAATGCTCAGTGATGACTGAATAACTGAATTGAACGTTGTCCCTGTGATGAGTCTTGTGCTGCAGCCTTTCCTATGCTGTGATGATGCAACCTTTTAATAATGTAAATGTAGTTTGTATGTTTGCCTCTATGTGTGATATATAAATTGCATATTTTGGAAGCTGCTAACCTCCTCTTTCTGGAATGGGATGCAGTTCCCCATAAGACGAGGAAGATGTTCAGATGCAATATTGCATTACTGTGGAAAACTTGAATCTCTATTTTGTTTGAGGCTTTTGCTTTTATTCCTTGCTTAATGAAAGTGGTTATTTTTTATGTTGACAGAACCAACGCGCTATAGCAAGGTACTGAAATACTAGCAAGTGGCAGATATTAAAAAAATAGTTTTGAGGATAAATGAAGGGAAGAAGGAGACAGTGGCTGGAACTGCTCTGAACTGAGSAATCTTCATTTGCTTTTTTTGTTTCAGAAAGGCTAGTGGAAAGTCTTCGCTTGCCCCAGGTGCCCACTCTTCATTCCCAGGTGTTCCTGTTTTTCCGAGTGTTGCTTTTGCGAATGTCTCCGCAGCACCTCACCTCCCTGTGGCCCACGATGATCACGGAGCTGGTGAGCCGACATCAGCACAAGTCTGTGAACACAACTGCTGCCTGCTCTTAATAACCTGGGCCTGGTGCAAATCGTGCTAGAGCTGCACTGCGTAGCATTAACTGGACCCTGGACACAGTTTGAACTGAGTGCTGCTGTATTTTCAGTCTTGGTGCCTTATCTCTTTTTATACCACATGGAATATTTGTTGATTTACATGGAATATTTGTTGATTTTTTTTTTTTCCCCCCTGGGGGCCCATGCTTGAGCAGGACGTTCCTTTATATTCTGCTGTATCTTGTGGCCTTCAGGTGTCACCCACGTTTAGGCTCCCTTTCTGGGTGGTGGAGGGGATCGGCCCTGAGAGCTTTCCCGGGATCCTGTTCCTGTTCTGGGCTGCTGTGCGGTGCTGAGCTGTGCGTGTGGGATGGAGGAGGCAGGATGGATGTCAGTGTCCGCTGCAGTTCAGGGGGTCATTGCATCAGCCACCAGAGGAAAAGGCTCCAAACAGCATCAGTTCTGCCCAAGGCCTATTCCTCACACTGCCCTCGGGGATTTTCTTGTGTCACAGTCCATAAGAACAGTRTTAAAATACAGCATTTGATTTCCAGGTGCAGGTGTTTTTATTAATGGAACAGGAGCTAACTGCAGATGAAGACATTTCCAGGTAAACACACGCTGCAATATGTGGACATGCTGATAGCTGAATAGTTTCTAAAATATTTCCCTTCAGGAAATAACTCAAGTTCAAAATGAAGGGACAAATAAAGAGTATTTTGATCTGACTGAGGATGTAACATTCAGATCAATCATTTTTCTTGGAAGGCAAAACAAACAAAAATAATGTTACCMCTTGGCTCAAAAACAGCTAAGGTAAATCAGGCAATAGAAGTAGGTTAATTCTTGCAATYCCAGATTGACTGGCTAACATAATACTAGTTTTGCAATTAGAATGTGTGTATATGACCTCATAGCTTTTCTGCCTGATTTAAGTGTTTGGAATAAGGTTGGCACAGTGTTAACAAAAAAACAAACAAAAGTATTCTATTGCTGTAAAAGCATAAAATGACTGAAGGTTTTTGCCCGTTTCATTGTCTGTTTGCATCCCATCCATTCTCTACCCAGTGTGACCCAGTTTCAGTGRGTTCTAGCAGGAGAGGCAGATACTGCAAAAGAACAAAACGGAGTCGGGTGCCAAGTTCTGCTCTTCAGTTTTTCTTACCTTCTCTTCGTTCTTTCGAAGATTCCTTCCCTAAATCGCAGGACAAGCCACGTGACTTGCAAGCTTGGGCTTGCTCTTGATTTGCGTGGCTGAAGGGAGTCAGATGCAGCAAAGTACATTTAAGCACAAACTTAAGGTTAATCAGGATTAACCTTAGGGTTTAACAGAGAGTTGCCTGTTCGTAAAGGGGGATCTGGCCATGGAGCAGCAGGGGAAGAGGCTCTGCCCCACGTGCCTCTCTGTTGTGTTTCAGGACGTCTGGCCCGTCTGTGGCTGGCCTGGAGACCACCTACACGGGGGGCAACGGCTTCTCCACGTCCTACAACAGCCAGAGGTGGCTCAACCTCTACCTGTCTGCGTGCAAGTTTCTGGATTTGGCCCTAGCTTTGCCATCGGAAAACCTCCCTCAATTTCAGATGTAAGTAAAGGACAAAACTCCAGGGTTTAAAGTCTTTGTTTTCCTGATTCTTCTCTCCTTCTGGCCGCCTCTGGTCCCAGAGCAGCGCACAGGGCGGGCGTTTCCTCCCAGCAGCAGCGTGGCCCCCAGAGCCAGTGGGGTTCAGCTTGTGGCTTGGGAGCTGATCGAGTAAGTCATGATTTATGAAAGTACTTAAAAAAAATAAAGTGTTTGGTTGCAGTCATATCCAAGGACCCCGAATACACCCGCATGTCTCAATGATTAAGGCATCAGRCCGTATGATCTCAGCTTGACTTCACTTAAATTGCATCATTTGGCTGGAAGATGCATCACTGAGCCTGCCTGCCAGGGGGCACTGGCCTTTCTTGGTCTGTGTCTGCAAACTCCTTCCCCTCAGCAGTCCTGCTGTGCGGCASAAATGGGCACAAAGTGCCTGGGATTTACGGAAGACACAGAAAGGCCTGGGATTTACTGGAGAGGTGGCGCAGGACGAACCCRGCTGCCCTGTGTGTCCCACTAACCTGCGGCAGGGAGCAGGAAGGACCCTGTCCGCAGGCCTTGCTCTGCTCTGCCCCTGGGAGATRCTCCTTGGATGCTCCCTGAACATCCGTCTCCTTGGAAATTTTCTGAGGTTTTTTGTCCTTAGGGGAGTTCATAATTCTCACTTTTGTGCAAATCGCTTTCAGGTCCCTCATACACRAGACAGATGTGAACGTGGCTGCTTTTAGAGTCTCTCTCCCTTCTTACTTTTGTCAGACTTCAATATTCTAAAAAATTCTGAGAGAAAAAGCAAAAGCTCCTTTTCTCAACCATGTTGTCTTTCTTTTTGGAGAATGGCTTTCCTATTCCGACTTTACAAGGATTTTATTTTTCTTTTTACTTTAAAATGTAGTTTTAAATCTAAGATCCAGCAGAAGAGCCTGTGAGTTCAGTACRGATAACATCTGCCCGTGCTCTCCCTGGCAGGTATCGCTGGGCTTTCATTCCAGAGGCATCGGATGATTCGGGCTTGGAGGTGCGGAGACAGGGCACTCATCAGAGGGAATTTAAACCTTACGTGGTACGTCTAGCAAAACTGCTGCGAAAACGAGCGAAGGTAGGTCCCTTTCTGCCGGTTCTGCTCTTCACCAAACACCTTCACGTTCAGGAGCTGTTCGGTTTTGTTCCAATGGAAAATGGAAGGGAATTTGTCTAGGGTGGGTATCTATATTCCCATGGGAATAGCCTCAGGTCAGTATTGGGCAGAAACCACATGTGAAGCGGAAAAAAAAGAGACTGGTCAGTGGCTTTGGAGTATCCAATTTGAAATAGTTATTTGGGTAAAAAGTAGGTTCTGCCTTTAAGTATAATACATTAAAATGCCTCCCAAATACACCTTTAGGTGGTCAGATTTCAGATCATATGCCAAGATATTAGTATAGGTTATTTTTTGAGGTAGAAAATATTTTACTTCCTAATAATCCCATTTAATTAATTACAAAATAATGTTGCATTTCCATAACTGCGAGAGCCAAGAGCTTTTTCCAGCCTTGGAGCAACTGGCATGCAAGGGAGGAGGCAGGCAGCAGTGGAMACAGTTCGAAGGCATGGAAAGGGGCTGCCTAACTTGTAAGTTAGGAGGAGGATTAAAGCCAAGCCATTGTCAAAGCCCATGTTGCTGCGAGGAGACAGCAATACTTGATGCCTGTCTACAGCCCTCATGTTGCTGCCTTTGAGCTGTGACATTAAAACTAAAAGGGCCTTCTCCTGCCCACACGCAGCAGGGGCAGCTTTGGGCTCCTGGTGCCCCCCAGGCCACGCTGGGGAGACAGACACGGGAGGGGGCTCTGCGGGCKGCGGCGCTGCAAAACCTCCAGATTCTGCAACCTCCACTTGCACGTTTGGAACCACAACTAGGGGGATGAGATAAGGATCAGGGAATAAGTACTGGTTTCCAGGCCGTTTCTTCTTGGTGCAGAGGAGAATACAGTTAAACATGGYTGTGTGTTTCTTTCAGAAAATACTATTTCTGAGCAAATAATTTTGCTCCTGGACGCCCTCTCCGATAGCCCAGCTTGCCCGGTGTGGTGTTTGTCAGGCTCTGCAGCCTGAGGAACCTGCCTCAAACCTCCGTGAGCAGAGGAGCAAACCGGCCCCGCTGTCACCGCCTGGCCCCCCAGCTCCAGAGCGGGGTGGTTCTGGCTAATGGATTCTTTGGGATGGCCGATCTTGCTGCTGGAAAATAGCACCCTGTGCCCAGGCAGCTGCACTGCCTTCATGGCCAAGGGTTGTTTTGCTCGGTGAAATGCAGTCTGAAAGTTCTCCTCTTTCCTTCCACAGGACAAGCAGGAGGACTTTAAGACGGTGGTTTTGGAGGGATTGGAGATGGCCAAGCATCAGGTGAGGGCGGCCTTCGATGCTTGGGTTGTGAACACACTCACCACGACACTGTCCCCTTGCAGTAGCATCTAGCTCTCTGAGGGAAGAGAGAGGAGGCTTTTTGGAGAACAAAGTTGAGAGATTGTGAAGTGAAATAATCACATGTGCCCTTATTTTTACTTTGCTTTCCTACCTCTTCAAAAAAGAAATCGCTCTAACAGGCATTCTCACCACACATCACAACAGAATCAAAATTTCTGCTGTTCATAACCCCTAATCCAGTCCCTGTCAAGTTGCCTGCTTAAGTGTCTGCCAAATGGGTTGTGGTTTCTGAGTTCCTGCTGTGAGGAAATGGCTTGGAGGGGTTGTGGTTCTATCTGGTCTGTTGTTCCAGTTTATTATGTAGCTTTTTGTTTCTTGAATCCTTGTGGARAGGAAATGGTACAGCTGGAATAGTCATCTCTCTTGACATGGGGCAAGACGGAAGCAAAATAAAATACTGAGCACGTTCATATTAATCATCCAGTCACTGCTTATGAAACGGCTATCAGGAAGGCACCTGAGTTAGGAAAGGCATTTCCTTTCATTTAAAGGGCAAAAATAATTTTTGTTTTAAAAAAAAAAAGGCAATTCCCTGATTTCTGTGTGGGAGAAGGGGGGGAGCAGGAGGGGGACGTGCATGTTAGTGTCCGGTGGCTTCGGCRCGCGGCCGCTCGTGGTGACGCTCGCGGGCGGTGAGGGCGCCCTGCTGCGCTCCCACTGCCGCTGTCCCTGCTGCCTTCGCCCCTGGACTTCCAGAAATCCCCTCGGGAGGCTGGGCTGAGCGAGTGAGCCCTGGTGCCATTGGAGCCGCAGCACCGTCTGGCCTGCGCTCCGGGGGCCCGCCGCAGCCCGGGACTAACGTGTTCCAGAACATGGGAAAACATCTGCTGGGAATTACAGGCTGTTTCCTTTGTACCTGCCCTCTCTCTCTCTCTCTCTCTCTCTTCTCTCCTTTATTGTTTCGTATTTCCCTGTATTTGCAGAAGAACCCAGAGGAGGAGAGCTCAGGGAAACCACTAAGCTGGGAGCCGGGGCACCTGCTTTTAACCCTCTGCACTGTGCGCAGCATCGAGCAGCTCCTGCCTTTCTTTAACGTGCTCAGCCAGGTYTTCAACAGCAAAGTCACGAGCAGGTGCGTGGGACACTCAGGGAGCCCTGTCCTTTACCCCAACTCTTTTCCCACTAAGGACATCCAAATGGAGAACCTCAAGACATTCTCCAGCAAAGCCAGGCAAAAAATTGAAGAGATGGTAGAGAAGGATTTTCTGGAAGGCGTCATAAAAACATGAGCATTCATCTTACATGTAAAGTAACTATTTAAATGAAATGCTGTATCATCCTTCCCGGTTGTATAGTATTCTTTTCTTACTTTGTATGTAATGAGATACTTAATGTTGTATTTAATTTAAATATTTGTAAATAAGAGAAGAGTTCTGGATGTGGCCTGAATCAAGTTTAAGTCKTGGTGGCTCATATTGATTATGGTGCCTACTATTTACAGTACACTTGTTTTGTTGTCTTGAGGTCTGTCTGAAAAAAAGAAAATCCTAAAAAAAATACAAGGTGCACATTTTTTCAATGTGTTTCCAGTTTATTTCTGTTGTCTGGTTTTAGTATCTTATTGGGACTTGTGTTGATTTGGCAACGTGGACAAAGAGTCAATATTAGGTGAAAATAAAATGAAAGAAAGAAAAAAACCAAAACATGAAAAAACACAGCCCGTTGCCCGAGGTAGATACCTTAAGCTGAAAGGTATGGTTTGTAATATATGTATATTTAAACTCTTAATCATACATCCCCTTAGCCCGGCCCCTTCAAACTGCTGCAGAGAGAGGCAGAATGTCACAAATGTGTGTCACTCCCTCCACCTCTTAAAAATGATGATAAATACCATTATTACAACCTCTGCTTAGTTCATGTATATATTTCCCCAGTAATTTCATAGGAAAAACGTTTTTCCTAAGGAAGAGGTTATTGTTGTAAGCTGGAGTTGGGTTTCCAGCACCGCTCCTGCCTCGCCCGGGCCCGGTGGCTGGTGGGGCTGCAGGGAGGGCAGCCCCCTCGGGCCGGGCAGTGCCTGGGGGGCCGGGCCAGCCCCGGGGGCTAGGGGCTGAACAAGGGGGCCACTCGCCCTCCCTTGGGGCTTCCCTGCCCAGCAGCAGCTGTAAGGCCCAACCTGCCGCATGGGCAGCCAAGGCCCGCGCCGCTGCCCTGGGAAGCTCTGGGAAGCAGCCAGGAAAGGGCCACCCGCTTGGAAGACCCATTTGGAGCTGCCTCTCTRGCCGTGACGTGGCCCCGGTCTGTCAGGAAGGGACACTCAGGGCACGCAGGAAGGGACACTCAGGGAGGGAGGAACACCCAGCACGAGAGCAGCATAGTAAGAGGTACGTTACCTACAAGGTAAGAAATCACAGGGGAGAAGCAGTGTGCTCAGTCCTGATTAATCCCTTTTACACTCAAGAAGAGCTTGATAAAGGCACCGTAGCCGCTGCTGAAGCAACAGGGAGCCAGTCAGGTGAGGAGGGTGGCGGGCGCTGCAGGCTGGGGCGGCGCTCCCACACCGCCGGCCAGGCGGTGAACAGCCGCGCTCACCTCGTGCGCCAGGGCATCGGCCGCCTCCTGYGGGGAGCGAGCGAGAGGAGCTCAGCCCCGGCTGCCCGCTGTCCCCACCGCCGCGGGGCTCCTGCAAAGGCCCCRCTCCCTCTCTGGCTCCATCCCTTTCAGCTCTCTTCTGCCACTGGGTGTTGCTGGCAGGAAGCAGCAGGTACAACCGTGGGACAGGAGCAGAGCAGAGCCCACTGATTTTGGTGACAACTTTAAGGTCACGTATGGACCCMTTCTTAATTCCACTTTGTTTTTGAAAGTGCCTCTTAATAGATCGTGCAGTTCCTGMTTGCCTCAGTCACTTTGTTTATCTCAAGTACTCAGAAGGTTGAGGCTTTAGGGTCAGATTTGCCTTTACGAATATCTCACCTTTACCAGTGAGCWTTGAAAACATCAACAACTTAGAGAGTTTCTATGATTTTTTTTTCCCCAATTTAAGATCTGCTACCCGTGCTTAAATGACCGCTATGTAAACATACCCCTCCTTCCCTAAGCAGAGACCATGCAGAGCTTAAGCAGCAGCCCGGGCTGCGAGCACAGGCCTGACCTGTGTGTGGGCCTCGGCGTAGACCCTCACGGTGTCCTCGGTGCCCGAGGGGCGGACGAAGGCTCGCGCCGCCTGCCGCGTGCTCACGAGGGCGTCGATGGCGGCCTGCAGTGCCGGCGGCGCCGTCACCCGCCGCTCCGCGTCCGTCGTGCAAATGACCTGCCTGTCGGCGACCTGCGGCAGCGGAGAGGGGCTGGGCTGCGGCTGGAGCCAGGCTCAGCGCATCCCGATTCATTAAGTGGGGAAGAGGGCGACCTCTGGGATCATGGGTTGGCCATCGGCATGGGCAGCTGCCATGCTGAAGCTGCATCTTCTCCCAAGAGAGCAGACTGCTTAAACTCTCTTCTGAGCTTGATTTGGAYGACAGAGCTCCCCTACTGCGCCCTTAGCTGTAACCCTGCTACTGCTTGGCACTCTYTCCTCAGCTGGAAGTCTTGGAGTGTGAGTGAATATAAGAAAAAGAGAGGAGCTTGAGAATTTAATTTGTTAGAAGTGACACATCAAGTAGCACTCATCCAGTGTAGGAAGTTGGCTATTCTAGTTTTCAGAGGCCCCTAGTCAGGTTCTAGCTAGAGCAGAGAAAGAGAACTTGAACCTCCATCACTCACACCAATCCTGATCCCCCTCAGCCACAGGCAGAAGTGAAGTTAAGCACTAGGTTTTGTTTGATTGTTGGCCCCAACCAAACGAGTCTGTATCTTCAAAACACAGCCCCGTTGGACACAGCCCATTCTGMCAGAAAAGTTAGGGTAAAGGGGCAACCCTCTCTCAGGCAGTTACTGCTCTTCTAAGCCGCTGGGATTTGAGACTATGGGAGGAAAAAATTTTCAATTCCAGTTTCCATACCAAAAGTCACCAATAGAAATAGAGATCTGTGTCCCTGGGGAGGTCCTTGTGTGAAAAGCATAATTAAGTTTCAAGAGGACATTTCAAACGTCCTGTTAACAGACCTTTTCATCACCAAAGGGAGCATGTGAGACTGCACATATTCTACTGAACAGCAGCACTACTGTATATAACTACTGATGTTAATCTGCATTCACTGTTAATTCAAACTAAACCACAAGCCACTTTTCCCCATCTCATTTTCTTTTCAGTTAAAGAGTTGGCTATTATTTCATCATCTAAGTAATACTTCATTTTACTCAGAGCAAAATTGTGGGGTTTTTTCTCCCCCGTAGCTTACTGCACTAGGCCAGCTAAGCCCTATAATAAAGGTTTTGCTCTGAAGAAAGAGAGGAGACAGAAGATTCGATGAAAACAAGGCAGGCCAGAGTAGGGCTCGAGCCAGCAGCACCTGTACCTCACCTGAACTTTGAGCAGCCGGTTGGGCAGGTCGGTGTAGATGCTGTCCCACTGCTGCACGGTGAGACCCTTCAAAGCCAGGATTGCCTCGATAACCAGCATGTCYGCGATAGCGTCGCCAACCGTCTGTTGAGGGAGCCAGGGGGAGAAACAAAAAACAAGGCAGCAGTGAAGAAACGTTATCCGATTCCCCCTTTTTTTCCCACCATTCTGAACCCCAAAGGCTAGAGCAGATGAAGGGATTCTACATTCCTGCACGTAGGAAGCATGACACCTCTCCCAGTRAGATTGTTACTGTGTGTCCTTTTCCTTGTCCCCGTCACTCCAACCCTCTGCTTCCTGCCCCACGGCTTCTGGCAGCAGCCCCACAGGAACAAAYCCCCCAGCAGCACTAGCCCTGCCTGGCACCAGGGGACCGGTCTCCCTCAGCTCTTACCTGATTAATCAGGTCTATCACGTTCTCAAGCATCTTTGCTGCTTCCCTCCTTTCATCATCTTTTTCCTCTTTTGCCAGTTGTCTTATCTTCGTTTCGGCAGCTTTACTAAACAACACCTAGAACAAAAAGGTCAGAGCTTGTCATCATCCACACACATCAAGAACTGGAATGTGTACAACAGTGAGGAGGAGGGGGAAAAAAAGCTTTTGTTCTTTGAGCCAAAAAAAAACCATTATCAGGGTTTCCTTCCACAAATTCCCATCCTCACAGAAAATAAAGGGCAGTCGGTGGTACTGCCAGGAAAAAGGATGGGGGAAGCAAGTCTAATCTCAAAGAAGAAAAAAAAAACCTTGCTCATAGATGCCAGCCAAAAGAACGAAGCGTACCAGCCAGCTGCACTCCTCGCAGTTTGCATGCACCTTCTTACCGTGCCATGTCCATTGGCCTCAAAGTACACCCCGACGTCGAACTCCTGTGCCTTGTGGTGCAGGTGCTTCACGCCAGTTTTCACACAGTGAACAGGCACCTRCAACCCAAAGAAGAGGAGAACACACACGGTCAGTCACTAGTGGCTGGGAACTGCAGGCAAGATGATGCCTAAAAAAAAACCACTAATTCACAAAGTACCAAGAACTTAGAGGTTTTTCATTTCTGTGAATAGGTATAGAGGCCAATTTAAAAAAAAAAAAAAAAAGAGTCACATGTGAACATACGTTCCCCCCCATGAAAACTCCAACTTATTTAATAGTTTCAGGGAACACAGCATTTTTCTAATCCAAACTGAAACACCTCAGCTCAGTTTTTGCCAACAAGCAGCAAACCACATTTTGGTAGCAAACAACATTAAGCCTGTTGCAAAAATGAACAGTTTCATTGTATCAAAAGAGCCTTTACTGAGTCATTTCTTCGCAAAGCCATAAATTTCTGCAATTCCAGAAGTAACAGATGATTCTGCTTAACTTTTGCTTATTTGTTTCTTCACATCAGTAAAATCTGACTGGAACTATTCATCTTTGCTCCCACGGGCTCTTGTTTATCACCAAGAATTTAAGAACTAGTACAGGTTGGAAAGAGTTYGAGTCCACTATTAGTTTTCCTAGGGACTGCCTTGTAACAGCATTGATTACAAAAGGAAACACTATTGACACGAGGCACCATTTGCAGCAAGGCACCAGGGAGAGGCTGGAAATACCTTCATGGTCTCCTCGAGGTAGCGCGTGGAGCTCCCGTTGGCGTAGGCCGTCTGCACCACTGCCACCGTCAGGGTCCGTTCCACCTGGGCAAAGCAAGCACGGCTTCAGTGCCCGACACACGCGCACCCGGGGCAGCGGAGTAATCGGGGCAATCACAGCCCAGAGTGAAGGCTACGTGCTCCTACAGGCACAAACTCCTGGGCATCAAAGGCAGKTTCTAGCTCACAGATTAAAGAACTTAGAGACATCTAGGACAACAAATCCCATTTCTGTATTTGTGCATCACATTTTTAGGGGCTGGCTTGAAGCAGTGCTTCCCCCAGTCACCTTCCGAGGCTTTCCTCACCATTTCTCAGATCTAGCACGCTCAGTGCATTGAGCAGACATACGGAGTTACACAGAGCCATATTCACATGCAATAAATTCGAAGCTTCTAGAGCAAAGCTGGCTGGTAAGCACAAATTGTCGCTGGCCAGCATCTCCACTACAGTACTAGAAATGAGCCAGTATCACAGGAACCAGAATCAATGGAATTTGTCTAGGTAAAGAAGTAAGTTTAAAAAAAACCTTAATGAAAGGCATCATAATGAAGAAAATAGAAGTCACTCCCTTTTAAAAACAGTATTTTTGGCATACCACTGAAGTACAAAAGTGACCTCTTCCTAAACTTTAAATTCACTTAAGTCAGATGTAGGCAAACACGGTTTCTTTACAGTATATTACATTCTGCCAAATTTAAACATCAGCATTTGTTTCAAATGTTTAAGTTACCTTGACAAGAAGTTCTTTAAGGAAGATACTAATTAAAGTTGCTATTTTATCTCCATCGATTAGATGAAAATGGTCATCTGCGTCCTTATAGTAATAAACAATCCTATCTGCATCTCCATCAAATGAGCAGCATCTCTCATTAGGCTTCATGTCTAGCCCTAGTGCACAGAGTTAAGGGAGGCAAGTTAGAGACTAAGACACAAACTATTCCATCAGCACTCCGAGTCCAACAGCAGCACCCCTGGGCACACAGGGAAGCTATACTTGGCAAAGCAGGGCCGCACAGCACTGGCCTTCCCTGCCCCTGGATGCTCCCTGTGCCAAACTCCACCCTCCAAGAAACATGGGAATGAGCTATACTCCTCTCTTGCATCAACAACCTTTTCCTTCAGAATATATTGTAGGCCTGTTGTCATTTTACTCTATTCCCACCCGTTATCCCCAYGTTTCCCCTTAGTGCCTCTCCCCAGCTGACACAGCAATGCAACACAAAAATGGTCTGGGTTTTTTTTTCCCGTTTCTTTTTTTTTGTTTGTTTGTAAATCAAGGTAAGTTTTGTTTTTCTCCAAAACTCAGGCCCCAGGTTAACCTCGTGGTTCATTTTTCAGACGCTACGCAGCTGTGCCCCSTGGGCTGCCCTCAGAGGCCTTCAGGCACACGCGGGGGAGCCCCAGGGACGCGTTGCACCCACAGCTGCTTTTCCTGTCTCCAGGCAGCACCCTCGCCGTGAYACCTTCTGCCCTTCCAAGCACTGGAACTGCACACAGCACTTGCCCCTTTCTTCCCCTGCACACCCTCAGCAATACCATTCACATGCAGTTAAGGAGGTGCCGCAACCATGAGATACTCAAGCTGAAGTGGGAGGTAATGTCAGTTTCAGCTTCCAGAGGTTGAGATTCCCAAGGATTTTAAATGAGGAGCTGTCACCAGTTCATACTTCAGAGAAAGCAGTTAGTTTAATCCAGTGACTGCTCATGAAACCACATTTTCTTCAGAACACAACCTCGCATGGAAATGACAAAGGAGCCTCCCCTCACTCCCCATTACAGCCAGAATCCAGACACAAGGCACCAGTTCCCAACAGGGATTGCACTGGGCCAGTTCTTTTTCAGTACTTTTCCAGTAAACAGGCAGCACAGCAAAAGATAAAGGAAACTACAGCTTGCTGTTCGACTTTGGCTAACAGTTGCAGGGGGGTGTGGCTGTCCTAACAGTCAGCCAGATGAGCAATGCTCTGATACTCAGACTAGGTTACTTTTCCAGTCTGGGGATTTCATTCCATGCATCTTCCAGGAATATGGTTCAAGTCATTTCCTCACTGACTCCTGTGAATCAGTCTGTTTGCTGGTACAAGGGAGCTGTTTACCCCAGCTGCTCCTCAGGGACCTGAATAAGCACCTGGAAGCCTACTCTGAAACGCAAATGTTTTGATATTACGGCAGTCCCCAACAATCTTTTAGCTCCAAGAACTCTGGCAATTCAGATCAGATTGTCAAACACATTCCAGACAGGAAGGAGGATAAAGGACACTGAATTACTGACCACATACATACCTCTTGGTGGCTTCTGATGAACTTTTACATAATCTGCACCACACAAGTGATTGAGCTTCTCCCTGCTTCCGTCGTTGTACAGCTGAATCAGCACCTCCTGTGGAAAGTAGCGCTCCATTTCCCTTAGTTTCAGGGCTCCTATTCCATTGGCACAGTCGATCTTCAGATGCCTCTGACGATCTCCAGAGCTGGAAGAATTAGCCTATGGGAAGGAAGGRAAAAGTGAACTTCTACCCTAGTGGAACCATAAATTCTCTCAAACTTTACACCTGGGTTAGACTAATGACAGAAAATTTTGTCCATTTGAATGAAAATAATGGTAAGCAGCATTCACCTTTTTAATCAGTTCTACAAAAGCTTTGGATAGTTTTTCATAATAACCCTCCAGCGTCGCCTTCCCATACTGTCCTTGGGTGTTATGGCAGCAGACCATGTAATGCAGCTGTGGTGTTGTCACCAGACCATAATCTAACACAAAAACAAAAGGCACAATATTCAGAAATACAGCACTACACTCATTCTTCTACAGGTCTTAGAATACTAGCTATTCTACAACAGACAAATGCAGTGCAGGAAGACAGACATTTATAATAAAAAAACATGAAATCAAACTAGAACTAAAGCTCAACACACCATGGTATTGCCCTCCTAGAACGCAGACACCATCCATCACTGCCTGGGAAAGCTTCAAGCTGCTTGGTCTAGAAGAAAACAAAGGAAACACCTTTAGGGTCTGTGGAAGGAACATATACCAAATTAGTGCTAAAAACTAATACACAATCAGGTGGTGGAGAGCCAAAAATCCAGTAACACCCATGAATATAGCTCTGGCACCTCCATRAAAGTGATATATCTCTATAGAGTTTTGCTCTTACCTGGTGTCTCTTCCGATAAAAACCAAAGCATCTCTGTGCAGGTCCACGGCTTCTTTTTGGCAGATTTCAGTCATTACTTTCTGCAGTTCTTGCTCCTCTGCATTTGCCAGCTGTGTAGCATATTCTTCCCACAAAGGATGCAACATTTCACCATGAGGATCAATCAGCTTTACACCATTATCTTCCTTAGAAGAAAGCAGAATAAAAAGTTCTAAGCCTAAAACATGGAAACTAAACAAAATGTCTCTGAAGACAGAGAAAGATGTGGGTTAAGCAGACGCTTCTTCAAACTTTGTGCACTTCTAGGAAGAAATGGCTTGGCTACAAAATCTGCATGATCAAGCCCCAAAAGTAACATAATCAGCATATTAAGTCACTTGCCCCACTCACTACTATTTTGCTATGAATTTTATTTGACATGAAGATGAGATAACAGGAGATCCCATGACCTAAACACCCCACAGCCACAGAAGCCTAAATGCCTTATTTGCAATCACTACAACTTTTTATTTTTTTAAACAGATTTTGCTCAAAGGTCCATCTAGGACCAGTTGCCAACCTGRCAACTTCCCTACGCTGCAGCATTGACTTTCCCAAATGAGACAAACCGACAGCACTGCACGAGGAAAAGCAACTGCCAACATGCCAGTGATGCTACTTGCAGAGAGGGAGCAGCTTTTTTTATTTTTTTTTCCCCTTGTTTTTAAGGGGGTCGCTCTTACCTCGGGGTTGTGCGAGGCGGTGACCATGACGCCGATGGCGGAGGCGGTGGCCCTGGCCCTGAGCACGGCCAGGGCGCCCATGCGGAACATGACGTGGTCGAGGCTGGGCGCGCGGCCGCGGAAGCCGGCGGTGCCGTAGTGCATGGCGAGCCCGGCGGGCTTGGCGTGCCGCGCCGAGCACCTCGCAACCGCCTCCAAATCCATGGCCGGGAAAGGCGGGCGAGCCGCAGCCAGGCAGGGCAGCCCCGCGCTGGAGGGGGCTCCGGCGCCCGTGGAACCCAACAGCCACCAACGGTCGCCAACGGCCACGTAACGGCTCGCGCGGCCGCCCTGCCCCGCCCCTCCCGACCACCCCAACGGCGCATGCGCAGCCGCCACGTGGCGCCGGGCGGCGGCCGCCCCCTCCAACGGCCGCCCCCTCCAACGGCCGCCCGGCGGCCGTTACGACAGTGACACCTCCCGGTGTGTGCAGAAATCAGGGCGAGTTGTATGTATCGTTATACTTATGTGTATGTTTGTAGACATATATATATATATATATATATATATATGAAAAGGTTGGGGGATTGGCAGGGCTGCCCACAGCTCGGCGTTACAAGCTCGGCCTTGGCAGCAGCGGGAGCGCTGCCCTTTCCAGGCGCGCCCGGCGGCCGCGGCGGCTCTTGCAGTGGTGACACGCGGTGATCAGSCCTCTAGCCCTTCTCGGTGACGAAATTCTAGCGTTCGTGGTAGAAAGCTGGAAAAAAAGAGAAATGTGACTAAAGGGRAAATGCGTGTTGTGTGACAGATTGAAGGCATCTCTGTGAGAGAAAAAAAAAAGGGGGGGGGGAAATAACCCCCCAAAACTACAGAGGGTTCCCTGCTGAGGTCGACTTACTCAGGAGCACGGTGTGGTGCTCTGGCTGTTTAACCTCACTGTGGCTCGAGCTGTGGGGTTTGTCCTCTCGTTGCAGGTGTGCRATGGCTGCTACAGTAAAGGAGTGTCTGGAGCTGCAGCTCCTGGAAGTGGAAATGCTCCTCTCAATGTTTCCTAAGGAAGGTGAAATGCAAGTGCGTGACGAGGACACCGTGCCTCGCGTGCAGCGCTACCTGACCAGCTGCGAGGCGGCTCTGCCCCCCCAGCTCGAGTATTCAGTTGCCGTGGATGTGGGGGAGTCAAAGGTGAGAGGTTCCACTTGGAGGTGTTCATTTGTGTTGCCTTCTTTACTGCTACTGCAGACTCTGAAAAACACCAGATTTTCCCCCAACTCTGCTCTATAAAATCCTTTTTTTTTCCCTTCCTATTTGCTATTTTGGAAGCTAAAAGCAACAAAATTATATCATTATTTGAGTATTATCTTTCTTTGGACAAGAAAGGTTAATAGAATTGCTCATGTAAATATATAAATATGTTGCACTTTATTCTAATAAAACCACCCTAATATTTCTCTTGTCTGCCCTTTGCCATGCATACTTTATTTCATTGATTTGTTGAATTACAGTTTGAAAAGACTAATGTAAAAACATTCCAAAATGGTGTAATGCTATTAAGAAGAGTTACACAAATGTTAAAACCAGCTGAGGAAATGGGACACAACATTYAAAAGTGTAATGAGTTCCATGAACTTACCCTGGTTGTCATGGCTTTTTTTTTCAGTAAGTGATGTAATTACATGCACAGAAAACAGCCATTAGGGTAGGCATCCAGCTGAAATGTACCCAACCTTCTAAGACAAGTTCAGTGAACTGTGGATGAAGGGCTTGTGTTGTAAGGTTGGTTTTTTACCCATGACAGATTCCCAAGAAATTTGGGAAAATAGTCAGTCATTTCCTGATTCAGTTCTCTCTGCAGGACTAATGATATGTTTATATAACTTAGTAAGTCCCCTAATGGTAAATAAGAGCYTCAAGCCCTGTGGGCACACAAATCCTCTCCCGTTCTGTGTATGCCTATGAACTCAGGTGGAGTTCAGTTTCTGCCACCATAGGAATAATCAAGAGGAATCCAACAGCACTGTAGGACCCAGGAGGAAATCAGGGTAGATAACTAAGAGGTTTCCTTTCTTAAATTGCATTCCTAAAATCAGACTGATGTTTATTGCATGTAATTCTGAGAGTACTTCTTTTGTTAGAATCACAGAAGGGTTGAGGTTGGAAGGGACCTCTAGAGATCATCCAGTCCAACCCCCTGCTCCAGCAGGGACRCCCAGAGCACGGGGCACAGGGCGGCATCCAGGCGGGTTGGGAAGATCTCCAGAGAAGGAGACTCCACAGCCTCCCTGGGTRGCCTGTGCCAGGGCTCTGKCACCCTCACAGTGAAGAAGTTCCTCCTCACATGGAGATGGAACTGCCTGCGTTGCAACTTATACCCATAATAAGGGTGAATACTTGTTCAAAATAATAATAATATCCAATATGTTTTGCATCTAACCCTTGTCCCCATTTTCCTTCCTGGTCATTCCACAACTGCGATGAGTTTATTGATCATATGTCAATATGATAAGGGAGAAGACTCTCAAAAGCCACTTGCCATTTTGCCAGTCTGGTCGTTTGCCTTTGAAGCAACACTGAGTGCAGCCTAGGGAACATACAGGAGAAATATCTCTTGGGAATATCTATCCAACTTCTGTCAAGCCGCAGCATGATCTCAGGAAACACAGCCGAAAGGATCAGCCTTGCTAATACCAGAGCTGTTTGGAAAGGCCCAGCAAGGTGTCACAAAGGGAACTGTTAAAATAGCAGGTTATTTAGGCAAAAAGAAAACAAGAAGTAATTCCCGTCTTTAGGATTTAGCAATTGTCATTACATTTCATAATCTGACAGGGAAGAAGGAACTCGACTGTCTTTAACTGCAGAACTCATGGGGTTTTTTTGTGTATTGTGTTTTCAAGGCAAAAGTAGAACTGCRGGTAGTGCTGCCTCACCTCTACCCTCACGTAGCCCCCCAGCTCTTTGCGCGATCGGATGCGCTGAGCAGGCAGCAGCAGCTGCAGCTCAACACCGGCCTCACGTCCTACGTGAGCTCCCTGGGCGCGGGTGAGCTCTGCGTGTGTGCGGCTGTGCAGTGGCTCAAGGACAACAGCCCACCCTGCCTGCAAAACCACAGGCCCCCTCCGGGAGGCCCTTCCAAGGAGGAAGGACTTAAAGAAACGTTTCATCGCCTGTGGATCTACAGCCACCACATCTACAGGCAGGAATTGAGAAAGAAGATTTTTGACTGTGCAAGGAAGTTAAATCTGACTGGCTTCTGCCTAACGGGAAAGCCTGGCGTGATCTGTGTGGAGGGCATCAGAGAGAACTGTGATGAGTTCTGGCGTGTCATTAGGTATCCCAATTGGAAGCATATTTCATGCAAGCACGTGGAGAGTACAGAAACTGAGGGAAACATTGATGGTCTTCGTCTCTTTCCTGCTTTTGAAGACCTGCAGTTTCAGGCACATGGGGATTATGGCCTGAGGAATGACTATCACATGGATCTGGGCCAGTTCCGACAATTCCTGGAACAACATCAGAGTGGACATGTTTTTCAGATTTTATTTGGTGTTGAAGGCAAACTATCAAACAAATAAGTGAAACCCTGTAAGGAGTTTTAACTTTGAACAGCAGCTGATGAAGTAAGCATTGAAATACYGTGCCTGACAGCTACTGAGAAAAGGGAAACTGCTCGACAGACAAGGCAGGCAGTTCAAGGAATTAATCTTTGTTTCTGTTCTGAATTGTTACATACATTTGAGAAWGCCTGTTTATTTTCTGAGACCCTGAAATCAGCAATTATCACTCTGAGCTACATCTCCAATAAGTGGTTGCAGGTGACAAAAATCCCACAGTTCAGTATTTTAAGTTACACAAATCTGTCTCCTCATATATATTGTGCTGTAGGAAAGCAACATGAGGTGCAGGCCTGTAAGCAACTTTGGCGTAGAGTTACGGGTGACCGAAGTGGCTGCTCTCAGTATAGTTTCCAGTACAAAAGCAYATCCTGCTTCAAGAAATCTTACCCATGTAAGGAAATCTCATTCAAGATTTATTTCATACAGTTTTGTGCTCTCACTTGTTTTAGTGAAGTGCAAAGACTGCCCAACCACATCAAGCTTTGCCTTTCAACAAAGGAGTGGGGAAAATCCCACATTACCCTGTCACTTATATAGTCTGGGTAGTACCTATAGCATTACATTGTCATCACTGACCATCATTTTTCCAGCTACTCTTCCGACACTTCACTGTAGTCTGGGTTATGTTAATAGCAACCTCTCAGCTGCTCAGCTCATGACATTTCAGGCGTATACTGCTAGGCTTCTATATGCACCTTGGAGATGAGAGCATCCAAGAGGAAATACAATAAATGTAAGTGTAATGTTGTCTCTTCTCCTTGTATAGTAAATAAACATGCACACAACAGTCTTTCCTATGTCAAGTTAGTACTAGAGAGACACGACTATTCCAGGAGYACAGTAAGGTGAAAACTGGTACAGGGCTAAAAGGCAGCTCTAACGGGCGAGCTGCAGAGGTTAGGGCTGTGCTCACCTGAAAGTCAGACCACGGGGACACCAACTACTTACAGACTATTTCAAAACACTCAGTTAACCACTACAGAATTAATAGCAGAGGTATAGTTTATTTCAAATAAAATACAAGAAAGAATTTTAATACTTTTTTTTTTCATAACAGCAATATATTGAAAGAAAGCTGATGACAAAATTTCAGTTTGTTCAGAATGATGGATATACCTTATTGTGGTAAGTATGGGTATTGGTCATGTAGCCATAATTTTGGCCAGTATTATAAAAAAAGCAAAATAATGACAAAAAATGTTGACAATTTCCCATCATATAATGAGGGCAAAGTGTCTGTGGTGTCAATACCTGCAGTCTGTAGCCATGGGAGAACTGAGGGGCTGGACAGATAAAATGAAATTTTCATTCTGCAGAGGTACTGCTGAAGCAGGATAGTTTAATAAAATAAGCATCGCAACTGTCCTTTGTTCCTAGAAGTGAATGTTACACTTTTCACGGAGTAACAGTAATTCTGTAACAGTAATTCTCCACATTCCATATGACCCGAGTTTTATACCCCTATAAAATAATTTACTTTCAGCCTCAGCAGTTTTAGAAATAGGCCTTGTCCCTGAGACTTGCAGCAGGAGGGAATCTGCAAGGCAMCGCTGATGTGCCAGGGCAGGAAGGCTCCCTAGGAGGATAGTCCTGCAATCCAGAGGCAGAGCTGACAGAAGCTTCAGATGCTGCCAAAGCTCCAGGGTTTGTATTTGTTATTTAAACGACTGATTAGACTCTGGTCAGCTGTATCAAAGGGGGACGATGGGTTACCCTGTGACCTTTACTGGTTTAAACAGTGCTCATATATATTTCTGATTTTCCATTGTATTAATGGCTTAAGCCTAATATTGTTCTCATTGATGTTTGTGGCAAAACTAAGTTACAACCCTTTATTTTGATTACAAAAAGATCTGTTAAGACTTTAGTGGAGGATATCTGAGGTAAAATAATAATCAAAAAATGAACAACGCAAATCCACTTCTCAGATTCACTTTTATTTTCTCAAGTATAATTAATGACTCCTTAATCTGAGCTTCTAATCAAGTATCACAATTTAGAAAAAGTTKCTGCATTTCTTAAAAAATTAACTATTCTTAAGTTTACTAGGCAGAAATGTTCCAATCATTCGAAGGATTCTGTCTGCTGCCAGTTTGCCCATTGCCAGCTACACATTCACAGTTTGCACGTGGCTTCCTCKGGCCAGGCGTAGGAGTCGGCCACGAAGCAGTTGTAGTCGGTGCTGTAAACCTGGGAGCGGATGAAGGCCGCCAGGTCCCGGGGCTGCGGGTAGAAGGAGGCAGTGCCCTTCCTGTAGGCTTCCTCTGCGATCTGGAACGACACGGTACACTCCTCCTYAGCCCCAGCGAACCCCTGCCGTGCATTTAGCAGGGATTTTAGCAGGGCCAGACTTCACCTTCTCTGGGGCTGCCAGCCAGAGGATTTACCTAGATTTACACTGAATGGGGATGCTATAGAGGGAGGAATATGAGGAATAGGGTGAGGTTTGCATCCATTTAAGTTAGTCTTCCTCGTGAAATCGCTTTCAAAAGCAGCACGAGTGAGACTGCCTTAAACACAGTGACTTGTTCAGTGTTCTCCTCATCCAGTAAAATCTTAGGTTTTATCAGGCAGGACTGGTTACAACATTCTGCAACCCCCCAGCACTGAGATGAGGTTTCTGCTGCTCAGCCACCTGCTTACTCAGATTTGCCATGTTCACAGCACAGTAAGAAAATGTGATTTGGTGGCAGCTGCTGTGCTCGTGTGTGAGAGCAACTTATTAATATTTGCCAGAGGTAAACTCTCTCACACACAAAAATGAACCTACACGGTGAACAGATTTGGTTCTTGATATGGGTGGAGAAAATAAGTATTTTGTGTGGATATACACACAACCCATACATACATCTACGTTTGCTTGCTTTTTTTCTCACCCAGATCCTCTCCAAGTGAATCAATTGCCACATCACCCATCTAKCTACAGTAAAATGAAGTTTTGAAGGGCTTGGAGCCCACTCAGCACRGTAAGGCAGCCTCCCATGCATGAACAAACACCTACCTGAGAAAGATAAAACTTTTATGTATAAGAAATTGAGTTTCAGTAGAGATCACATAGGAAAAAAAAGAATTACTTGTTAACATTTTCCCTTTTTTATTTGCATTATATGTACACACATGCAAATAACAACTTTGTCGAAATCACTAGAGACAGAGCCTCTGCTGCTGTTTTTCAGCCAGGCACAGGTGGTCTGATGCAGTGTGAGGAATGCAGGGAATATTTTGATTTCTACAGGACAAAGTTTATTACTTGAGTAAAAAAAAAAAATCATTAACTGCAAGAAGGATTTTTTTAAAAAAATATACAGAATGAATAAAACTAAGGGAACTTTATGCATGAAGAATCTCCATTGTCTTTCAGAAGAATATTCAATAAATAGAATTACTTATAGTAAGGTGACTAGGAGTAATCCAAGAATTAGAGAAAAAAATCCTGAGATTAACAAAATAAGTCTAAAATGTATAAAGTAATAAGTATAATGATCCCCTGCCCTTCCTTCCTGGGCTCCAGGGACGCTTGCAGTGAGGGAAGTCAGCTTGGAAACTGCTGCTTGACCAAGTCTCACGTAAGGTGAGGCCAACTCGTGGGAAGATACAGTAGTTCATCAGATTAAATGTGAACGTTTTATATATAAAGAGCTGCAGGAGAAAAACCTCCCGGAAGGCTGGTGTGTCCTACCTGCACAGCGATCTTCAGCGACACGTCCCGAATGGTGACTAAGGGAGGGTACAGGCGACCTTCCCTTAGGTTCTCCTCTGAAACCTGCCGGGCTATTACCTAGGAATAGAGCACACACAGCTGCAGCCTTACGGGTGCTTTAGTCTTAACAAGGACAGAAAAAGGTTGAACTTTGGCAAAGCTCCTGCTTACTCCACCTACAAAGTGCTTGTTAACTGCTAACCTTACTACTCAGAATATCCACACGTGARCTAGTGCAAAATACCACATTCTGCTCCGATGGTAGGATTATTTCGCTCTGCATTAAATCTTTATTCATTCACATGCTTGTAGATGGGAGAGGAGAGAAAGGAAGGCCAGTAATGTAAAATCTGACACCATTTTGTTAAACATTTCCACTTCAGAGCAAATGCCCCTGTCTTTGTGATACAAATGGGTTAAAAGGCTGCGTAGTTCACCCAGATCCAAAGAAGAGGCACCAGTTGCTGGAGCAGCCCATGATACACAGCAGCAGGCAAGAGCTTCACCATGAGATACAAATTGAGGGAGGAATCCCTCAGACATCACTCCTAGTTCAACACGGGCTGCCTTTATGTAGTTTSCATTGCATAGTTAGTACATTAGGCTGGAGAGGATCCTTCAGTTTATTATCCTCCTCAAGGGAGCCAGTTCCCCAAGCTACATTATGTAGGGACACCAGGGAGACTGACTTCGAAAGGAGACTTCTGATTTTTGGCTGATCGTGCTCTTCTCTAATTTATACTGCAAACTGGTAGTGGTAGAAAGGGTTTTTTTTTTTCATTCAAAGTGTTAACAAGAGCAACAAGCTGCTACGTCCAAGGAATAACGAGTAAAGGGTGTATATAAGGAGTATATTTGCCTACATTTTGAGCTCACATTGAGAAATAGAGCAGTCAAAAAAAGTAACAACGGCAGAGGGAGCTAGGCCAACACAGGATCTCCTACTTGCCTTTTTTTTTGCCTAGCTTGTTTTGTGAAATCAGACAGGATTTGCAAGTGAACATGTAAAAAGGAGCTTGCAGCAGTGACTTTGGCTGTCACSTCTTCACCGGGGCTCCGCAGGAACAGGCCATCTGCACAAAGCAGTTGGCTGCTGTTCACGTAAAGCAGCGCTGCGGAAAGTCAGGGAGCAGAGTACGTCTGGCTGGCACCGGGGGTGCTACAGGCATGTGAGCGGGACTGAAACTGGCAGTGGCAGCAAGTTCAGACTGTGCAGATGCCACAACTGTTTGTTCTGACAAGCTCCAACAGAGGTATTTAAAACGGCAAAAGCACAAGGAAGCATTTTCGAGGGGAATGACACCTTCTTCAGGTTGTCTCTGAAAAACGTTCTTGGAGAGTAACAGCAGAGGGAGGGAAAAAGATGGGTCAGGGTTGGAGTTAGCAGGAATCCCAGAGATCAGTATAAAGTATGGAATTGTGTATAACTGTTGTGCCCAATCACTTTGAACAGTGATACACACTGAACAGGTACATTTTTGCTCCACCTAGTTCAAACCGGAATGGGGTGGAATCAGAAATGGTGCAGCCAGGAGAAAGGAYCATCTAGGAGCTATTCTTTATATAAGGAGATTTTCTAAGTAGATGAAGAAGGAAGATGGACTAAAAAGAAGACTGAAAGGAGATACAAAGGAGCAATGAAGGTGGACATTTCTCATAACAATATTGAAACTCAAATCATCAGGCAGGAAATATGATTATTCGTTTTTTCTCCTCCAGAACACGAAACTGTAACGTTCATCACCAAAAGCTGTTCAAATGTATAAACAGGCCTAAAAAGCCCTTAGATTCYTTATGGAAGAAAAATATGCACAGATTTCTGTGCAGATAGAAGTTCCTGCTCAGGAACTCCTTAAAGCAGAGGCTGCCAGAGCCTGGGATGGGATTCAGCAACGTCAGTCCATCCTTTCCCCTCACCTGCCCTCCTTCCCTCAGCTTCTGCTACTAGTGGCCTTCACAGAWGGATATTGGACTGCTTGGATCTTAGGTCTGACGCACACTGGCCGTTTCACATCTTACTGTTGAATTATTTAAAGCTTCTAATAGAGAAATTAGCTTATTTCATGATCTAAGTGAGAGTCACCAAAGCCTGGGCAAATGGTATAAAGGATGTAGGGGCATCTTGGCTTTTTGAGGAYGTATAATGAAAGGATTTAATGAGATTATCTCTGGAGTAGTTGAACTGTGGGTCAGTCATGCCAAGAATATTTCGTTTGTTGGTAATTCTCTGGCCTTTTGTCGTGTTTGGTGGGACTCAGAAAAGGAGGTAATGCCCCTTGTCATCACAGAGAAATTGCCTGTAACTAAGAAGCATTACAGCTGAGTACCTTGGATTTATCAGCCAAAATCAAAGTTACACTCTATTTTCCCTGGCATGAAGAAAAGAACACCTGAAAGTAAAATCTCTCGTAGTTACAATAAGCTAATTGTGACTTTTATCAGATTTCATTTGAGAGGTGGCAAAGCGAGAATTTAGGAGATGCAGGCAAGCAGCCTGRTTGAAGAAAGCAGCTGCTTTCTTTTTATACTTTTTTTTCTGATATGTTACCATTACAAAATGAGAAGGTGCCTTTATTTAACAAGCATATTTTGGGGTGTTTTGAGTTTTGTAGCCTCTTGGACACTTCCCATTTCAAATGGAGAACCTAGACCACTTTTCTAAGAACTATGCCACATTACCTTCCTCTTACCTTCCCATTAAAAATATCCAGAAAAAGAAAAGCCTTTTTGCCTTATACTGTAGTTTCAGCTAAGGGCCTAGGCTGTCCTGCCTCTCACATTCCCAAAGACACCTTCTCTGGCACAGACTTCTTTGCACTCTTCCAGTTTGCTCCTTGCTCAGTGATGGGCTTAGGCTCACTCAAGCTCCAGACGTAGTGGGTCCCCTCCCAGAGCCAGGGACGCCAGGAGCACTGGGCAGAGCCAAAACGTGTACTGGATAAGAGGAGGCAGGAGAGAACCTCTATCTTAACAGAGAATTTAGACRCTTGCCTAAGATTTCTGATACCAGTTCACTTCTCTGAGAGTTAAGGGGCTTTGTTCATAGTGGCTTTTTTGGTTGACTTCGCCTCCTGCCACTCAAAACATACTTCACGTGTCACCTTTCATCCATCCATCCAGCAGCAACCCAAAGCCTGCTATATACAGGATCCATTTCACCCACACCAGGGGGAAGCAACTTCTAGAATGAAGACAGACAGCTGTTTAACACAGCAGTTCAAAGAACACCCTGTCCAACTGAAATTACAGGGGAAGACTGAAACAGCAGCTTACAATTACCCAAGGACCTACAGGAYGGATCGTTGCCCTCCAAAGATGGTTGAAGCCCGTGCAGACAGTCTGGCCTTGCCACTAATTTTGCAGATGGAAACTGCAGATGTTCTTTTTGGAGAGGGCACACGGCTGGCAGCCTTTAAAGCTGTCGCAGTGCACACAGCAGGGAAACTCTCAGACATCCAGCGGAGCTTTAGGCTCTTCCACATGCAAGCTACACTACCCACGCACTGTCAAGCACCTCGGTCAGCGGCCCTGGCGATGAGGAACGTGCGCTCCTGACAAGCCTCGTGGACTGCAAGCTGTTCTAAACTGCACTGGGTAGAAATCACCACTGAGGTGAGTTTAAGTTAACTAAACTCAGTATAACTGAGACTAACCTCCCTCAGTGCCTTCCTTAGGTAAAGCAATGGGGATGCAGTTTTTAATGGCTCTGCATGGACGCAGCCAATCCCTCTGGCCCTGCTCAGGGCTTTCGGATGAGAAGAGGGAGAGAGAGGAGGGGCAGGACAGGGCCAGGAGGACGGAGTGGCCACGGGGCAACGGGATGACCGCAGGCAGGGAACCACGATGCTGCACTCAGAAGAGCACAGAGCCTTTCAGCTTATCCGAAGTGGGAAACGGCTGCAGGCAGATTGACTTACTGTTCAGGTGAGTTTTTGTGAGAAAAAAGAGAGTTGGATACATTCCATTTTAACCACAGCTATTGATGTATTTGGCTTGAATATGGGGTTCTGAATAACAAAGCCTAGGTTCCTCACCAGCAAGTGCTGAAGATAAAGCCCTGTGCACGTGTGGTATCGCACTGACAAGGAGTGGGTCTCAGATTCAGAAAAGTCAGTGGAAGTAAATGCGACTGCCCAGCACCAAATGTGCTGCCTCTCGGTTCATCTCTCTGCCCACTGAGAGGGGATAAAGGAGGAGAGTCCAGCAAAGCTGGAGAGCACCGGAACACCCATCATGGAAAATGGTGTTCAGAAAGAGCCAAYGCAGAAAGGAACAGGAAATAAAATGGAAAGAGTGGCATGGCAATTATATCAAATTATAGTGCCGGGAACCACTGAGTAATACAGCATTTTTACCAGCCACTGGCAAGGGAGGTCTTCAAGAAACATGATGCCATCACCTCTACTCAAAAACAGAAAAAAGCATAAAGAAATTCAAATAACGTTTGTAAGCAAACAATACACAAATGTTACCCCAAAGCTTCCAGCTTCAGGTTCTCGTTCCTTTCAAACTGCATGTATCTGCATTCACTTGAAACCTTCCCTTCTCTCTCTCCTTTCTAGCAGGAAGTAAAGTTTATATCAAATGCCCTTGTGGCCACATATTAACTATTTAAAAATGACTCATTCAAAATATAACTTACAATATATAATATACAAATATTATATATTATAATATACAAAAACCAACATATCTTTCAAATAAAGATCTCAAATGGAGAAAACGATATTTTTTCTGATTTAAAAATGTTTAGCTATTCCTGTTTAATTGTTCCTTATTACCAAGTTACTAAATCAAGGAATTTAGGTAGTTTTCAATACAGTACCTGAGCAGTGGTGAGGAACACCTCGTCGTCGATATGTCTGAGCCCGCACGCAACAACGCCAAGGGCAACTCCTGGGAACACATAGGAATTGTTGCCCTGTCCAGGATAGAGCGTCTGCCCACTTGGGAGAGTGACGGGATCGAAGGGACTTCCGCTGGCAAAGACGCCCCGTCCCTAAACGGCAAGAGCAGAGCAGGAGATGGAGGGAGGGAAGCCGGGAGAAGCTGCTGAAACCCTCAGTTGCTGCCACCCCTTTCAGGGTGAAGCTGGAGGTGGYGGCGGTTTCAACCACCGCTCCGAGGGGCTGCTGCAGCTCCGGCACTGAGCAGCTGCCAAGGGCTTGTCCAGGTAAGGGGGACACTAATTTAGAAGAGGGAAAAGTGGAAGCCAGCRTGAATTAGTCATTTGGTGCCTCCACGTGGGAGGATGGGATGTGGGAAGATGCACAGAAAGCTCCAGAGTTGTCCAGCTCAGGGTGGACAGCACCGCGGCGCCAAGGAGGGGCRGCGCTGCTGGAATTTCATCCTGTGCAGTGGGGGATCTTCCACAAAAGGGTGCCGGTGCCACTGCTGCTGCCCTGCTTGGGTGCAGGGTTAGGGTGGCCCTTGGGTGCACCCTAGGGGTGGCCCAGGGACGGGCTGGGACTCCCTGGGATGTCACCCCACGRGGCAGCCTACAGCAGAAGCTGCCCATGGGGCTGCCTCTGGGCCGGCTCCTTGCGCAGGGTCGTGGGCACCAAGCACTGCCTGAGGGGATGGAGATCACCACAAGGAGATCATCTGCAGCACCTCCGGTCCTCTCCTCCCTAGGGCGCTCCTGACATCCTGGGAATCCAGAAATTGCAGATTTAGACTAATAAGGCAAGTGGCTTTTCACAGGCCCAAAGGATCGGCTTAGGAGGCAGTACCCTAGAATTTAAGCAGTAAATTTAGGTGGAGAAGAGAGGCTCAKGAGGAGCCAGGCCTCTCTATGCAAACACTGCTAAAGTGATAAATGTTGCTGTTAAAGACTCAAGAAACGCTCTGTATGAGSAATATCTCTGCCTATTTTAGGGAACTGAAAATGTGCATTTTAAATACACAAGTGCTCCTATTCAGCCCTTCAAGGAGTATTCTGTTTAGCTTGGTGTCAGGCAGTATTATCATGGCCTGCTTATTATATCCTTCGGTGACAGATCAAACACTGCAGCRTGGCTTTCGCTCCGCTTCCAGATAYAGATTCCCGTTATAGCCAGCCCTTTACGGAGCTGCTGCCCTGATTCCTGCCTCTCACTGTAATTGTGAACTTCTCAGCGGGGCACGGCAGCTAAATCTGTCTTCTGGACACTGGGGAACTGCCCTGCTAACTGCCCTGTCCACGACAAGAAATCCACACAACAAAATGCACAGAATAAATCACTCATACAGAGCAAATTGCAGGCTGAACTACAAGAGAATGTGCTTACTGGCACTTAGGTGTGTAATTATGAAACACTTCAAATAAGCACACACAGTTTGCTTAATTTTCACCTAGGTTTCAGTAACAGAAATCTTTACAAAATTTCCTAATTCATAATAATTATTTTAAAAATTCTATTTCCCATACCAAGGCATTTCCTTATCCTACAGTGTATTTATAAAATCTCCAAGGAAAAGCATGCCATTGGGCATTTGTATTACACAGAGCAGTACAAGTCAAAAATAGCCACAGGGCTTTAATGATTGACAATTACCGATGCCTCGGCTATAATAAAGAACTGCAAATCTTGACTTACATTCTACAAAAGCCRTTACAATTTAAGAGGGTTCAGGCATCTCTTGACTTCGGTGAACTGTTTCTTGAYAGAATCATGAAATCCTGCTATTTAATTTAACTCATTTTCTACACACACAGAAACACACTTAGTATTTGCTCCTCCATCCCTCCTCTATCCCATGTGGAATTTACCATGAGCTTTGCCCCGTGTCCCGGGCACACGTTAGGGGCCGGTTACCTCTGTGTATTTGTAGCACTGCTCGGCAGTGCACTCCGCTTTGCTCGTGGGGTTGCTGAGAGCAAAAATAATGGGACGTTCGTTGAAGGCAGCCATGTCCTCAAGGATTTGCTTGGTAAAAGCACCACCAACTGCAGCAACTCCTAAAGAAGAGAAACAAGCACAAAACAAGCAAACAAGTGCAATTTGTTCGAGGTAACTCATGCACACCGCTTTTAAAAGAACAGTTTCTTTCACTGCAAACCTGCCCTTGTAAAACGTAGTGCAACTTCTAACAACACTGAAAAAAGTTCCGCAAAAAAAGAGATTTTGSTTCTTCAGGTGCTATAAATTGCTGGCATTTTCTTTCTCCCCATATGTTTACCTCATGGATTATGTACAAGGGTAACGTGCAAGGTCCCTCCTCCAGGGCCTCCCCTCAGCCCCTCTTGCCCCGGGCCCTCGTCCCTCCGYGTCCCGCTTCATGTGGCGTTTGGCACGAGCTTTAGGAAGGTGGGGGTTTCAAGCTGGGTGGCTTCCTGCTTCTAAAGCAAGGTGACTTCCATGTATGTAAATATGGGTATGTTATGGGTCAATTCATCAAGCACTTTGTACCAGTGAAGAGCCATGTCRTGCTCTTTGAAAAAGGACAGAAAGGATCATCTCTGAGCTGAGCCCAGCTCATTCGGATGGGGGGAAACGCAGGGACCCCAGCCCCGTGGTGCTTCAGACGATGCTGGTTCCTGCAATGGTGACACCCACGTGTCGTCCCTGGCCCAAGGCAGCGTCTCCCCCTCCCTGTGCAGTTGGCTGAAGTCCCCTCTGCACCTCTGTGAGGCCCTTGCTATAAAACAGCTGTATAACATCTGGCTCCCAGATAAAGCCAGCAAGAGCAGGTAAGTGCAAGGCGGTCTCCTCGGGCCTCACACAACAGACTGGATCCCTTCTCTCCCACCTGCTGTGCCTGGCTTCCATTTTGACTGACACGAGGAGGAAGCAGCGAAAAGGCACCCGTCTCCTGCAGCTCCCTCTCCAGCCCCAGCCGACGGACAGTCCCAGAGCGACGTCCYGAGCTTGAGAGGCTGCCCTAAGCGTGTCAATCCGAGGTTGCTTCCCTTACAACGTTCCCATTAAATCAGAAGTAGCTTAGAAGACTGACACGACTCTCTTGTAAGTGCCTGCACCACCTTGGATTATTCCACCTGTGAGATGGCGGCTTTGGAAGGAAAGCTCTGCTCCGTACCGGGTGATTCCTGTGTGCTCCTGTTTGCCCGCAGCTGCTCAACAGAACCGTGCTTAGRGTTTTGTAAAGCAACAAGGTGGACTCTGTTCCGAGGAACTTGATCTTGCCTCCACACAAAGCCAAATCCCCACTTCTTTTTTCWGAGAATAAGGACGCTGCTTTAAAGTAAAAGAAATTACCTATTAGCACGGATGGTTTTATGTCTCTAACAATATCTTCTAGATTTTTCATTTCGGCATGTTCCTGGGCAAAATGTTTCTTCTCAGCCGTTAATGCGGCACGTCCCTGAGTGAGGGAATAAGAAAAAAGTATTTATTGTATATAAGTATTGTAAGATATATATACAAATATTTATGTATAGATGTATACATATATATGTATATAAGTATTGTATATAAGTATATTATTATATATATTATTATTGTATATAAGAAATGTAGATCAAATTCACTAATTTTAAACTTACAAAAAGTCTAAAATACAACTGTAATAACTGTAGATAAAAAAGGAACACGCATTTCTTCTTTGAAGCGTTCTTGAAGTTGCCATACCTGCTGACATTTGATCAAGTTTTTAAAGTTAAAATATACATATACAGAGTAGTATATGTTTATCTATAACACAGCATGGAGGAGCTGGGTGGAAGGGAATTTCATAACTATTATCAAAACAGAAATATTATTTTTCAACYTTTTTTTTTTTTCTGGACTTGAATAGACACCTGGTGGCTTCATGCCGGCCTCATTTAATTCCTTCCTTCGGAATTCGACCCAGATGTTCCATTCATGGGTTTTATGGATCCCAACTGCGTTGCCATGAAAGAGCTCCCGCCCTGAGGGGCCCTCGGCCCTGGCCGGGGCCACCCAAAGGCAGCGCCTCAGGGCCGGGCACAGGGCACAGGGCCCGAGGCGGCCGCTCGCCGCCACCGTCCGCAAGCGGGAGCGGAGCCGCGGGAAGCAACGCGGCACGGGGGGCAACAAGCGGCCAAAATTTGCGGGAATTGCTCCATTTGCTGAATAGGTTGAATATCACCATGACAGCGGCATCGGAAGATTTCATCAGAGCCATTTAAAGTAAGTACTAAGGCCCTCAAAAATCTCACAGTTTCACACAAGGTAATTGATAGAGATGAGGAAAGACACAAGGAAAATAAAGCTCCCCTTGCCTCCGCCCAGATTACAGGGAATTTCCACAGAGTTTTCCTCCTCCACATGCTTCTTACGTGACCAAAACACGGAGCTATCAAACAAGAGGGCTATTTCGGCGCGCACAGATACAGCTCTTTAGTGTCCTCTTACAACTGCTTCCACAGAAACACTTTGCTGCAAGCACCTGGTTTCCTTTGCGGGCAACACGTAAAATCCTCAGCCTCCAGAGCGCGCCGCAACATTCCCCATTTGTGGCACATTGGCACTGGAAGCGATCCCGTGTCCACATGAGCTGTTTTCCTGCTGTTTCCCTGCGCCCGGCAGAGGCCACCACAGGCCGCATGCCCGTTTTGGAGCTGTCTCAGTTTGAAGTAGGAATTTCCCTTGATATTCTCAGGGGTGGAAAATACGTTTTCTTTCTGGTCACCAAAGGACAAACGTGTTTGTTACTCTCTAACCCAAAGCCTGGAGCTAGAAGTACCTGGAAGCATCACAGTACAAACCACTTGTCCTGCTCTGGATTTGTGGTTGCTGAAATAGCCCCAAGGCGGCCGACGTGGAGGAAGGTGTCACAGAAACCTGGCACTGGGCACAGGGCAGGTCTCCCATCTCCTGCCGGCGCCTCCCTCGGATTCCTGACAGCCTCTACTGGGGAATCAAGTTTAAACGTAGCCGTGGAGTCCTGGTCTGCCCGGGGCTACCAGGAGAACAGAAGTCACCTCCAGAGGCTGCACCGTGGGGCCAGCAAATGAGCTGCATGTGGCCCTCATGAGCCACCGGCTACAGAAACCAGGGAGGTGAATTGTGACAGCCCCATGGGGCTGCCTAAGCTCAGATACATTTCTTCCATATCTTAATATCACACAGGGGACTATGCTATTCTTAAGAAAAAAAAAAAAAAAAGGATTTTTTCTTTATTCCAGCTTTGTCTGAATTAGCTTGGTCCCATTAGTCAGAATGAATCATGTCTCCAAGTAAATATTTTTTGTAGTATATTAACTAAGAATGAAATATTCAATTCTGTGGCTTGGCAAAAATAACAATAATATTATATGTATACACACACAAACACACACACACTTATATATGTGAACATACACAAAGATTTTTGCTTGGAAAATGCCTGTAAGAGAAAACCTATGACTTGAAGTGTTTTTTTTTACATTTTTAAATAGATTGAAAAAATATATTTTAATTTTTAATTCAGTGATCCTAAAGCATAACCCCCCTAAAAACTGTGCCTGAGATTCCAAGAGCAGCTAACTGATTTGGTTACCCAGCTCCAATAATTTAGAGGACAGTGTGTTGGACGGTATTTTTTCTCCTCGTTTTAGCAAACTTCTACCTTCTGTTCTGCACAGAAGAGAAAGGCCACAGCAAGATCCCCACGAGCTGCTCCAGCGCCCTGGCCACGGGGAAGGAAGGGAGAGCTCGGCGCTGTGTGAGCTCAGCCTCAGAGCAGAGAGTTCCCAGACCACCTGGTAGTGCTCCCAAACGTCCTGCTCTGGCGGGTTATAGCCCAAAGGAGCTTTTGTCAGTCTGCAGAGATGAGAGGATGGACTTCAAAATCTCGGTTCTGGATTCCTGATTTCCTGCATTCTCCCTCCTGKCACTGGAGAGCGGTATCGGTGGTGGATCTCCCAGCGGAGCAGGCTCTAACTGAGCACGTTTTCCATCCATGCAGCATCCTTAAGATGCCTGGTTCTCCAGCCCTGGCTTGGCTGCCTTTGGTGCTCTGTCTGCTGCTGCAGGGCATCATCTCGAGACAGGATAAATGTGTTCAGAGCTCAAACAGCCTGGCAGCGTGTAAACCTCACTGACATTTCCCTTGCCAATGGGAAGTGGCAAAATACTAAATATTCTCTACTCAGGGGGAATTTCTATAAACATGGCTGTTCTGTATACACAGTGCTGACTCCTTTATGTGGAAACATCATCTTCAGTCACTTGTGTGCTTGTCTTTTGAGCCCACTCTCTTGCTGTTTTAGTGTCACTAAAACACCCAGTCATTCAGGAAAAGGGGCTGGAGAACCCGTGACGTGGGGCTGTATCCCCTGCATCCTGCCAGGCCTCTCACCRCCCCGGGGCGGCACCGCAGCGCCTGCCTCGCAGCACAGCACTGTTTTCCAGAACTTCCTAGCAGAGGCTGTTATTGCCCGAATCCTCACCCAGCTCGGACCACCGTTCTCTTAAGCTGTATTAACAGTTTACTGCAGCGTGTAAGGAGCAACATTCCTGCATCAAATAACGTTACCCAGGCCCAAGCCGAAAGGATTTTCCTGTTGGAAAGAACAGACCAACCAACAGACTCTCACATTCGTATCTCTCACCGTATCTCTCACTTTCGTGCAGCTACTCAGGTGGAGGACACAGAAGAGYAGAAGGCAAAGCTGGAAAAAGAGGCTATACTTCTTTCTTGCTCTAACTTTCCAATATGTCTTTTCAGACCCAGCAACTACGTTTGTTTGGTGGACTCACTCTTCAAACTTGGCAATATCATTTCAAAAAAAAAAAAAAGAAAAAAAAAAGAAAGTAATATTTCATTGCATAACTTTTCTCATCACCATCTATTTTCATATCATTTTCTTAATGATCTGAAATTTCTCAACGTCTCACGGAATAGGTAACTTGCTACATACATTAACAAACAGAATAAGCTGACTAAAATGCTAGGAAGGCAGCCCCAGCATCCTCATCTTTAATGATACCAGGGCTGCCTAGATAGAAAAACACACAACTTCACAAGAATAAGGAAGGCAAAAAGCATAAGACATACTCAAAATCAAATAAAATAAAACTTAAGCTTTCGAAGACTTGATGAAAATGTCACACCTGGAGGGAAGGGGAAAAACACCGTCTCCATCACAATATCATTTTGTACCAAGAAACCTACTGGAAATTTGGGATCCGAACAGAAGGGAACAAAGCAGCCCGAAAGCCGATATGTTGCTATATTAGGAGCCAGAGTGGGATCTCAGATGTAAAGCAATAGGAGCTAAATTCTTTATTAGCACCCGAGTCACAATGCGGGCTGTGTTAAGCCAGCAGATGGAGGCCGGCGATACCCCCACAATAGCGGCATTCTCCGCGGGTGACATTATGCAGGAGAGGCCTCGGCAGCTCTGAAACCTCCCCGCTCCTCCTGGCCAAGGGAGGGTCACGTTAACACCACGCCACGGATCCTCCAAGCCGGGACCTTTCCATTCAAGGGGCAAAAGTAGCGCAGGACTCGGTAGGTAGTAGYCTTAGGAAAACACTGCTTGCCTTTCTGATTGGAACTGGTGATTTTTGGATATTTGCTGTGGATAAGGAGTAAAACAAGGAAGAGAGGCCCAGCCGCGTGCGGGGGCAGCTCCCACCGGTGCCCCGCAGGCCTCAGCCCCGGCCCAGCCAGGCCCAACCTGGGATGCAGGCGTGGGGCCCGTCGCGGAGCCCGGAGGCCCCAGCCTGTTCATACGGACAAACCAAGGGAGCGCTTGGACGGGCGCTCGCCTCCCTTCAGCCGTGTCAGTCGCGGCTTATTTGAGCCAGAGAGCAGAGACGGGGTCGGAGATAAACTCGTAAATACACCCGAGGTTCTTACATACCCAAGGGATGAGAATCACAAATGTAAGAGGCCTGTGAACCAAAAGCAGAGAGGTTCACTACTAGAGAGAGTAATTTCCAACTGCAAGGACTTTCCCTTTATTTGTTTCCTATGGGCTCCTTCCTGCAGAGTTGAAGGCAAGAGAAACAAGCAGCAGTTGTAAAAGCATCGCACAAGAAGGAAGATAAAACGTCCAGACAAGCTGGGTCCGAGATGTGCAGAGATGCCACAAGGATTTGCCAGGCCACCCTATACAGGTTATGAGAAGTCACAAAATATTTTAAAGAAAGGTGGAGATTCGGAGATGACCTCACAGGTTACTGAAGCCAAGGGCTTGCAAATGACAGGCGCTCTGGTTCAGGAATTAAAAAACAAAAACCCCAAACCAATCAAACCCCTCTAAATCCCCCACACCAGGGTCCTAATTCCCAGCCTTTCACCTAGCATATGTACCTAAGGGTAAAGACAGCAGGTTCAGGCCACAGGGATGGACGAGGCAACCTGGACACTGATTTAATAAATCTTTTGCTGCCCATTGTTTGGAAAAAAGCAATGTTTTGGGTAGCTAATGCCRCCATGATCAGCACTAAAACAGAGATGAGAAACAAAAATAAAATAAAGATTTAGGTGATGTTCTTTCAGTGCCACCTTAAAAACACATTATTAGAAGATGATGGCTGTTATAGTTAAGTCCTGTGTTTAAAATACACTTTCCCTGTGTATAAGCAAACACGAATCACAGGCAGGACAAAGTTTATAAATACTGTAATGGGAGCATCCATACACACACACACACACACACACCACTGAAATTCAGGGATCAGTCCCAAATGTCCTCTCTGTTCTCTACTCTCTAAGCAAAGCCCGAATCTTATATCCAGCTTTCAGACCATGGACTTTAATCGGGGTTGTGTCTATGGTAATCGGTAGGGAGGAACTTTTCCAGGTCAGTTTGCCACAGGCCTCCCAGCGGGGGAAGCAGGAGGAAAACGTGATAGTTCACATTCCCATGAAGAGGTTCAGAGGATAACCTGCAGGATTAGCTGGGAATCTCCAGTCTAGGTATTCAGGACCATAGGAAGCTCTCGCTGTCCCGGGCCCCTCCTGTAATAGTTTCATGCTCTGAGGGTTAAAACTATCTGATCTCAACTGATGCTTTTGTGCTTGTTATTCAGCTGGATTTCACCCAAACGGTCTGAAGTCTTACAGGGGATAAGATCATACATCTAATGGATGTTAAAAGACAGGGTATTTGATTGGACATAAGAATGACTGCACTGTGCTGTACTAGCAAACCTGCAGGACACAGCCATTGGAAGCCACGTTGTTCCCATTTGACCTGCAAAACTAAGACTTCATTCCTATGTGTGGGAATGCCCTTTGAGCCCAGGAGCTTGTGTGACACAAAAATCTTACACTTCCTTGCAACTTCCAGGTAAACTTCACCACAAGAAGAAGCAGACCGTGTTTGGCTGTCAAGGAACACCCCATCAGGAGCCTGTCAGGGGGCCCATTGAATCTATTTAAATATGAAAATACTTTAATATTTGCATGATGTCCCTGGGCATCAGGAGCCATCTTCCCCATCACATATCCTGATTGCCTTAACAATAAAAGAAGGTTTTGCCATTACTAGAGAATGACAGTAGAAGCTCATGTCTAAGTTTTCGGCAGGGTCAGTCCCTAATAAATGAACATCCTTGGACAGTCTTTCACTTTCTGCCTGGTCAGCTGCTTGATGCAAAGGAGTTTACTGTCTTAGGAGCTCATGGTGAAGAGCTGCACTAATAGAGCTGCAAGTGACAACAACAGCTTCAAAAGATGACACAAGAAGCGTTCACCACACATGGCACGTCGAAGTATGCCTGTGTGTTCTGCAGAAAAAAAATCCTAACAGTGGAAGTGCAGGAAAAGGAGCGATGTGGGAGATCTCACCCACCAGAGTATTCATATAGTCAAGTATATTCCTCAAGCACTTCATATGACAAAATGCAGTTAAATAACAGTTCCAACTGCKTATACTTAGTCTCCAACTATACAAGATTGCAAAGCAAATTCAGAAGTGGAATTTAATTAAACATTAAAACTTCAGTGCAAATGCCCTCATATACCTAAATGGGCATTTCAAGAGGAATGATATCTTTTTCAAAGAGTAAATCTGTATTGTTCAAGTGGCAAAATTCTAATACTCTTATGATCCACCATCTCTTCCTCATCCTGTTTGGGGAAAAAGTCCTTTCAAAGGTGTTTTGATCATAATGAGCAGCAGATTTTTAAAAGATTCTTAAATATAAGCAATGTGGTAAGGTCTGCAGAACAAAAAATAAGATGACAGACAATACAGCAAACATAACCTTCATCACAAGCTCCTTCACCACAACATAGCAGAAAAGCTGGTCATCAAGCTCAGTTTAATGAAGAAAGATGGTTCCCAGGGCAAAAAGCCTCCATCCCCCCTCCCAAGTAAATGAAAACACAGCTGCACTTCAAAAATTTAAAAGCCACAAAGGAAAAATCTGCTATAAAAGTCTGATAAGTGACTTCGTGGCAGCTTTTGGAGGGAGACATGAAGGAAGGGAGGGCGAAACTGCTCATATTCAAGTCAGCAGAGCTCCAAGGTCATTTTTCCTTGGTTTACACTGGTTGAAAAACTAGGCAGAGTAAATGAAAGGTTAAACAATGGTTGTCTGCACTTACGCACTGCGACACTGCCACATTACTGATCAAARGACAAAAGGGAATTAAGATGTTGTGGAAATTAATTTATTGGAACAGAGGAATTGCTGTGCAGGAGTCCTCATTTCTGTTATTTCTCAGCCTGCCAAAGCAACGGATCTGAGTATTTCCAGGACTGGAAGAGTYTCCACACGTCAGCTGAAATTGTTTTGGTGAGCAGTTCTTGACAGGACAAATCTTAACAGACTCTCATTGCAGGGGTTTCCTTCCATCCAGCTCCGCAGTAGGAACACAAGCCAGGGCAGCTCACCCAAGAGATSATCAACAGGTGAGCGAGGCCGGGGTTTGACAAATCTTTTCACTGCACTGGAAAGATTTCTCGTAAGAGAATCCCTCCCATGGTCCAACTGCCTCGCAAACCTAATCTTTCTGCTTCYCTAACTCCTATCTAAGAGGCTGCTCTTGTAGCACTTTCCTGTGATCAGCTAAGCCCCAAATACTCTCCCAAGTAYACCTAAGAAAGGCTGGTGAAAGCAACCATAGGGTCCAGGAGCAGTTTAACTACTTCCATGTTGTAAATACAACTTTCCAGAAGTTATATCACAAGCTTCAAGAGACTGAAGCTTTGTTTTCCTGATTTTTGATTATTCTTTTTAACATTTAAGCTACACAAGAAAACCAAGCCTAGCAAGCCCTGGACCAAAGGCTGGCTCCCTGGCGCCGCGCTCAGCCCTAGGCGGCCACGCGAGGCCCCTCTCTCTCCGCGTGGCTCTTCTGTGGGTCCCGCAGCGCCAGGGCCTGCGGTGGCCTTGTCCCCACATCCTCGTGTACCCCAGACTTGGGGCTCCCAGGACAGCCCAGAGCGAGTTGTGATGTGCGCTCGAGGCGCTGACCACTCTCAGCAGCTTCTGCAAGCAGAGCTGTGGGCAGCCCTGCTCTGGCTCAGGCCGCTGTTACATCTGCTTCACAAACCCACTCCAGGCAGCACACGAAATTCAGTGGGCTGCTTTTCTGGACAAAATACAAAAGGAAACCCCACAGAAAAGGAATAAGCAACTGAACAGATAACAACTTGTAGGCTGTGCCCAACGCTGACTGCTTTTGGCCCTGGGCAACAGAAACACTTGAACATGACTAAGCTCGAAGGTGGTGAGGAAAGGACAGTCACCAAAGCCACCACAAATTTCGACACTGTGAATGAGGAAGAGTTGCTGCATACTGATAGCACCAACCTGCCTTCCCAGCTCCCTAGCGAACAACAATAGCAGCCAGAAGAAAGAAGTGTTGGGGAAGAAAGGCTGGTCCATCACCCCAGCAGGCAGACATGCAACTACATGCAGCTACTCTACTGCTTTAGAGCTGCCAAGTTCCTACACTCCATCCTCCACCTCACTTTGCTTCTTTAACACCATCAGAAAGTGATTTTAGTTATTATATTATGATGTTATTTATTATTTATTGTTTTATATGATATTATTTGACAAACATTTTCCCAGTCTCCCTGGTGGAGGAAATGGTGCTACAAGCCATTCCTCTCTGGCAGCCTCTAGGTTTCATTAACCACTGAAGATGGTCAGGCTCATCCACGTTTGGACCCAAAGCACTTCAAGATTACTAGATGAAAGCAAAAACCATTCCAGATGTCCAAAATGGGATGTCCACAATGACTTCTATGGCATTTTCCCACCTCAGCGTCTATCATCTCACCTACGATCTGCGCTTCAACAGCAGGAGAGAGCGGTGCTGCGAGGCAGTTTAACAAACCAACACAGGTGATTTTGAAGGTTACACACCATGAATGCAGGATTAAATTACCTTCTGATGCAAGCAAAATATCCAAAATATTAGAAAGACAAAGAAGAACACTGCACATGAGCCAGCCTAAGCCTTTCTTTACCAACAGAGGCGAGCAGAAACGATGTCAACAAAATGCGAGGTGAAAATCTGAAGCCAACTGGGCTCTCCTGCATTTCTTTCAAGTAGCTCACAAACTATTAAATGCAAAACCACCTTTTAAAACATACCAGTTTCTTTACTTTGGCACTTGGAATACTTATGTTTCTTTATTTTGGAACAGGGAAGGAATGAGGTAAGGGTGACTGATGAAGTCTCTCAGCAACTTCAAATTCTGACCAGTGTTGATAGCACTGCAGACCACAGCATCTGCAACATGAGCTCTGTGTGTCACTGCAGAGAAGCTGTTTGAGGCAATATATCTCCGTTCCCACTGAAGGATGACATTTTGCAACACCAGAAAAATAGTCTTTCCAAAAATGTTCTTATTCCCTTAAAATCACCCTTAAATGTTATCCTAATAGTTTGTGTGTACATATGTGTGTGTGTGTGTGTGTGTGTGTGTGTGTGTGTGTACATCCATACACATCCTCACCCAAGACTATGCTAACAAATAACAGTTATATTTACAGGGGAAATATTAAATCCACAGCTTGAATATCTCTTTCGTTGTGTACTTTTTAAATGAACTGCTGAAAAAAAATCTCCTTATATGATCATCCCTGATAAAAATGGTGCAGGAACTCCCAGCATAATCAAGCTCCCAATGAAATAACACATCTGCCTTTGATCTAATGCACTTTGGAAAACAAAGCAGCTTGCTGTATCAAAAGAGAGAAACTACATTAGTATAAACAAAACTCAATATATGTTCTTGCCTTGTCTATAGCCTACAAAAAACTACCATGACATGGARTGGAACGAGAAAACTACATTACCTTTACAACTAATCCCTTCGAGTCAACCAGCCATATCCTTTTGATAGCCACATCTTTAGATACTCCTTCTTTTTCCATGGCCATAACAATGAGGTTTGCTATCCCCAGTGCAGCCTGAAGGAAAAAAGAGAAAGAAAAGTAGCCTGCAAGATTAAAGAAGAACGCAATCCCCTCACTTGATCCATGATTTTAAGTTTCTTAATTTTATTTAATAAAACCGGACAAGTATTTTTTCATAAAGTAAATATTAATGAACAAGAACTACCACTGAGCAGTTAGAAGTCTGAGTGAAAGACAGATTACATCTAAGATGGCATCTGTAACGTGGACATCATAAGAAACAAACTCTAACATAAACGGTTAAAACTAACGCTTATTCCACATAATCATGTGTGAATACAATAAATTTTTTCCTTTGAAATTTAATTTTCTTCAGCATTTAATTTTGTTGTGATTTTTTGGCAATTTAAACCAAAGGAAATTGCACTCTGCATTCCAAAAAGTAAAAAAGTTTCCTAAAATGAGTCTTGCTCCCAGTCTTTCTTTCAAATGTCCATCAATAATGTAAGTCTCTTTTACCTGCTATTCATATATTTTGTAATTCTAGACTGATCTTGGTTGTGCTCCTGGTGAAAGCAGGGGCAAGAAAAAAAAATCACTTATCAATATTTTGTTGAAATATGTATCATTCCTCCCAGATTTTGCAATATTTCATCAAAAAGATCAAATGTCACACATGCATAGATTAAAAAACAGGCAACAAAGTGAGCCAACTGAGCACTGAGTAATTCTTATTATTAATTCAGYATAAATATTTATGGAGATGCTTTTGATTCTTGTTATTCATTATTCAGTTTCCCTGAGAATCACAGAAAATGTCCTTTCCCTGCCTAACAGTTAAGAAATACCTAGTTTTACGTAAGCTCTATCTACCATCATCTTTTTGCAGTAATAAGCATATTGACAATATTAATGGAGGAAAAAAAAAAACATGGATACATCTCCAGTGAGCATGGAGAAAAAACAGGRAAAGGAACTTCAGAGAGATGGATGGTCTTGATGTGAAAAGCTTTGACACATTCCAGACATGGCGCAGGTCTGTCGCTAACCATGAACCTAATCTCAGCTGCACCATATATACAGTCAGATTAAAAAGCTCAGGACTGCACAAAGCTGGGGCAGCCTAGGCTTGGGCTTAACTTGCTGACCATGAACTGTATTTTTCAGAAGYCTGTGCAGAGCAGTGGACCTCATAGAGCTGGTAAGAGTTAGCAGCCCCGCAGTTAAGTGTGATCTTCACTTCTGTGAAGTTTATGAACAGTATCTCATGATAATGTAGGAAAGCTGGTACTGCAACAATAATATCAAAAATGATGCATATAAAAATCTCCAAAAGTCTTGACATGCAGAATACTGAAAAGCTATAGGAGAAATGGGAAAAATCAAGAAGGAACAGGATCTTATTAAGTAATGCAGACACTGATAAGCATATCTTCCTTAGTCTGTCTTCAGTGACCTAGTATGTTTCCTCATCTTACCAGAAATTTTTGATTGTTTATATTGATACTAGCTTTATGATTTACAGGTGAAAAGATAAGACTTGAAGTTGTAAAAAGAGAACTGTCCTCCTTAAAATATCTTCTGAAAAATATGAGGCTTCAGCAGAYCATCTAGAGATTTCTTCCTAAGTTTGCATTTGAATTAAGAACCAACTTTCGGCAGCTGTTAGTGATCRTTATACCACTTAATCTTCTTGTGAATGGGATACATATGACTTGATTAAATAYTAAGTCTGAAACACACACCTCTCCAGCGCCCTGGAATAACACTGTGTGATCTGATAACTTGTTCTTAGTGATACGCAGAGCTGCAAGAAGACCTGCGACAGCCACAGATGCAGTTCCTGAAACACAGAGTGAAGAAGACATTTTAATTAGCCTTGAAATATTTAAAAAGCATTAGGCATACACTTAAACAATTTCACATCATCTTTCAGATAAAAGATACCAACACTCAAGCTATTAAAAATATTTGTAAGTTTTGTTGTTTTGTTTTACTTTGTTTTTTTTTTTATGAAAAATAAGTGGAAATATCTTCAGAGTAACATTAAATAAGATATGATTGGTTGATTAATTCTACTTAAATTGATTGCTGCTGCAGTCAAACTATTACTAAGTATTCTAGTTAAGATCTTTTGTAGAAAGAAAGGATGGGACAGCCCAGACAAGTATTCTGAAGGACTCTAGCTACTCAAAATTAAGAATGACTTATTAAGAAATAAGTATCTGCACTGATCGTACTGAAGGTGACTGATTCTTGGGAGTTCTTGAAAGGAAAATCCTATAATAGGTATCACAATAAAAGCTGGCCTCTCATGTGGAGGATGTAAAGACCTACAGGGGAGCTGAGGCAGCTGAAGGAGCAGGACCAGGTTATTGGGGTGACAGATGATCCTACTGCACTGAAAACCACTCACAACTTCAATTCCTGCAAAAATGGAGGGAGGAGGAGGCAGGGAACCAACAACCTCTATGTAATTTAATGCCCTTTTATTAAAAATCCTAGTTTTTCAGTAAGCCTCATGGTACAGCATAAGAGTGTTTTAAGGAATGAGAAGTAGATTGTGCACAATAATGCTACTGCTATAGTCCATATTTCACTCAGCTGCTTTGGTAACAGTAATAAGCACTAGTACAACCTTTTGGTTGGGAAAAAGGAAAAGACAAATTGAAATATAGAAACTTGCTGTATTTTGGTTCCTTAGCATCTTTCTTCCTGGTCACCAGCTTCAGGTAACATTCAGGTAACAGGCTTACATTTTTCACAAACTATCATCACTAAAGCCCAAGCACAGTGTGGGCAAAATTACAAATTCCTTGTTCCTGCAAGGAATACAGATGTATTAAGTACAGAAAAAGAAAAAAAGAAAAAAAGAAAAAAAAGAAAAAAAGAAAAAAAGAAAAAAGAAAAAAGAAAAAAGAGTATTAGCTATCAGCAAGTTATCAGCAAGCCACAGAACCTATAAAGGCATCCTGCTGTATCAGGAGGGGATGTGCCAGCAGAAACACTTTGCTAAAGGTGTCTTTTAGAGGAGATTCTGAAGAACAATAGCAGCCAGCATTGATTTCATCAGTAGTGGAAAAAAAAACGTATCACTCACACAGGATAAATAACTGAGAAGTAAAAACTGGTTTCAATTGACAATGTATGATGCCCACCTAATGTGGGACACGTTGATAGGCAGGGGGATGAGCAAGGGCTCCCTGCACCGTGCAGGGAGCGGGAACCGAGTCCTCCCCCTGACCAAGGACACGGACTGGCGGTGACTGGGACACGGACACAGGCTGCAGTGACTTCGAGGAGCTGCTGGTAGCTTAGAGGGAGGGGATCTGCTGCCTCCTTGGGCTCCGAGTGCCACAGCACTAACCAAAGCTGTCTACAAGCCAACCAGTTGCTTGGGAGGTGAAGAGCCAAACGGCTACTGACCTTCTGTTCAGAAAAGTGTGCAGTAGATAACCCTGAATGAGGCACATTTGCTCTTTACAGGCCTGCTTTTCCACAAGCAAAGCAACTTTTAAAGCTCAGACAGCAGGAACGTCTATATTGTGCTCAACGAGATGTTCAGAACATACATTTATAAGGGAGGCACCTGGAGCACATAAGCTTCACATGCAGCTAAGAAATAAAAGAATACAAGTAGCAGGAAACACGTAGTGTTTTGAACTTAGACCATCTTTATCCTCTTGGCACACAGGCCTGCTCAAAGCAGAGGTCYACTCTTAACGTATTGGCATCACTGACTAAAGCTGTTCCAGGCTCTTGCAGATCGGATGCTCTGCTATCAGGACAGAGGAAAAAACTGTAGGGAAGAGGCATCCAAATCCCTTAGAAGCTACTGCTTTAGGAATCATCTTTTTTCARGTAATCCAGGAGGAGCTGATTTGGTGCTTCTGCAGGAAAGTTCAGCCATTCTGGATCTTGTTCTTCTTTGCAAATTGSCAAGTTTAAGATTCTAGCTGTGAAACTGGCCTGAAGAGCAGGGCTTTGGTATCCCCACACCTCCAGGTACAGCAAATCTGTGACGGCTGAGGCAGGGCTCCTTTAGGATTATAATGCCAAAGAACTGGAATCTAACTGGAGTTAAGCGGGCTGATTTTTAGGAGTGGACTCCATTTATTAAAGCTCTTGAAACCTTCTTGAATTTCTCGGCAAATCAAAAAGACAGAGTAGAAAGAAACAGGGATCAAAAGCTAGAAGCAAGAAGCTCAACAATTTTCAGACTAAGGGTTGTTAAAAATAGGCATGCAAAACTGAGCTAATAAATGATGTCACTTAGGAGTTTCCTTAAAATTCCAACACTTGAGACTCCTGGAATCCAGCCATGCCAATGACGACCAGTCTGTTCCCAGGAGGATACTCTCCATCCTTTGAGATACCACACACACACGCCAGGGAGATGCTCCCATTGGAAGTTGTGGGCACCACCACCTCATGGCAAATACACAGCATATACGAGCACATACGGATGAACTGATTTTGTAATGGATTTTGCTTGCCAAAAAATACCATCAYCTGATCAAACTGGAGCCTGAAAGCCATGAGAAGGGAAGCTTATTCCTTAAAAGTTGCTTAAGAACATGGCAATCGTGCTGTGGAAAAGATATTATGCATCTTTCCAGTCATTGTACACACATGCTGCTGTTTTAAAATACATGAGGCATATTTTCTACAAATCTAAAGCTCATCAAGATCCTTAAACGTGCCTCAAGGACTCCACAAAATCATCTGCTTAAAKGCATCAATTGGGTGTTGAAAGTTGGGCTTAAATAGGCTGTTTATACATAGGATCTGCCGAGTTTGATGAATTATTATGTTTTATAATAAAATGTAMCCCTTTCTAAAATTTAAGAATACATTTTAAAGTTAGAAAGTCCCTCATAAATTTACCTTTTAAAGTAGATCTACCTGAACAGTTCAAAAACAGGTGACAGAAGAACTTAAGGAAAGAGTTTGTTGCATGCTTTTGATTAAGAGCTTTCCTTTCTGTCACTGGACTTAGCCCACTGGATGTTTCGACCATATGAGGTTGTCATTTTCAGTCTTTTTATTTCTCGCGCAGAGAGGTGAGATCATCTACTCTCTACTCATCTCATCTCTAAGTAGAAGAGGTTCCTCCGAGCCGCGGCTCCAGGAACAACGACCGTCCGGCTGAGGCACTTCCACACTTCAATATCCCCGCTAGCTTCTTCCTTTCCCAGATGAAATGAAGTCTTGCTCCAGCAAATGCCAAATTGGCAATGGCCAAAAATGAAGAAATCAAGATGTGAGGCTGCGTTCTAAATATCCCTTGGTTCTCCCCCAACCAATCCTCACAGCCCTCAGCAAAATCCCATCTTTGGATGCCAAATGCTTTCTTCTATTTCATGTTACCCAGCTGTGTTTGCAGGAGAGGAGGATGTAGCCTGCACTRCATGTCTGATTCCTCACTCCGCCGACCTGGTCTCCTGAAAAAGAAAACCATCTCCAAAGGCAACATTCCAAGGCCGCTTCCCAGCTTTTGAAGCCCACTCCATCTGCTGGGAGCTGCACAAGGCTGCAGCTACAGCAGCCCCTGCCATCCTCAGAGGAGATGGTGGGAGCTGTGGAAGCTGCCCTGCAAGATGGGACCTCCAAAGCTTCATACACACGTGGTCCCACTGCAAAAACTGGATTTATCATGACCGGGAATGCTGGGCACCTACCTATCCTCATGGGACTGAAGCACTGCTGCCCACCACGTTATGCACCACATTATGCCCATCATTAGCCATTAGCAGTTGCACTACCTGTACCTGCTGCTTCAGCAAATTCTATTATGATAAATCTTGCATTTTAAGGAGAAAAAACAGAGAAACAAAAAGGTTTTGCTCTGTTTGCAGATGGGGATGTGGATGGGGATTCACAACTGAGGTTATAGGAGGAACGCATAAAGGCTTTAAACATTGCATTTCTTACAAACCATGCTCCAAACTGCTCTAAATTGCTCTAAACCCAGCATTTTAAAAGTCCATCTGCTCGACTGAGCCGTTTGTCTGTGCCAGCCTAACCRCCCGGCTCTGTGGGGCTGCTGTGCGGCCGGCCCCATTTCCCCCGCACGGCACGAGCAGCCTGAATAGCCCGTCTGTTTACCCAGAACTGCCCTCACCAACGGCAGGACACGGAATTTCCCTGGGAATGCTGACTCCAGCTTTTGGGAGGAATCAAAATGCAATCCCCAGCGAGCTGTTGGGTCCCGTAAACGGTAAAGAGCAGAGGCGGCTTTTCCCATGGCCATCGTGACAAGGAGGAGAGCAGGAGCTCTCCCTCTCCCTGCCTCCCCACCAGGGCACAGGTTAAATCTGCTGCGTGCCGAAGAAAATRCAGCAGCTCCAGCGATGTTATTTTGGAAACCGCCTCAATTTTCCTCCCCCAAACTCAAGAATCACAAGCTTAAGAAAGGAGGATATTTTTGTAAAGAAGTGCTAGATGCTCTGCAAACAAACACTGGTTTCCTAGGATGATGAATCCTTCTGCAAAATCTGGAAAAAAAATGATTTTAGATGTGAAATTTCAAAGAGCGCTCTTCATTATCGAGACTTTGTCTGTTGTCCAAGTTTCTTTAGCCCTCCTTGTTTCCATAAATGACACAATCAAGCCCCAATATGTCACAGGAAATCCTAGAGGCCCAGGCCTTTCTTGGGTTGGTATGTGAAGCTCTCTGGAGCTCAGCATCTGCCAGCGCTCCGGCCCTGAAATATTTGCCTATTATTTAAAGTTAATAATAATAATAAAGTTAATAATAATAATAAAGTTAATAATAATAATAAAGTTAATAATAATAATAAAGTTAATAATAATAAAGTTAATAATAATAATAATAATTTGTAATAATACTCTCTGAAGAGAGGGGACCTCCCGCTCCTTGGCCTCATCTGCCTTGCCGAGCTCCTCGTGCACGGAACCAAATGCAGGCCTGGCCGGCAGCAGAGGGGAGGGAATTTTCCGGCAAAGCCAAGATTGGGCCTTCTTCAAGGACCAGCCCTTGGTGCGTTTGCACTGGGCTGAGCTTTAGCACGTTGCATGTTTAGCATGTCACATACCGTGTTTAAACTCGACTGCATTTGCAGCTATTTCTTTCATGAAGTGCAGGGAAGTGGCAGCTCAGCTGTGGTGAGATGGAGGGTTGAATGGGTTTCTTGATTTTGGATGATGATTTTTTGCCCCAAACGGAGGCTCTCTCAGGCCACRACATCCTTCCCAGTGGGACTGACACTGGAAAAGTGTTTCCTGCCCTTTAGGGGGCTGGGTTTTGGCAATCCACATGCATATTTACTGCATAACAAAAGYTATCATTGATACAGAAAGTCAGCCACGAGGAGGAAACATGAAGAGGAGAATGCAGGGGAAAGGGCACCAAAGGGCCCACAAAAGTGCATAAAGGCTACAGGGGGGCATTCACTTGAAAACACACATTTTCCTGAAAATTTACCACCAAGAAATCCCATTAGGCAGGTGATATCATGCACATACTGGAAGAAAAATATTCTGCAGGTAATCTTAGATTAAATGTCTTGGATTTTTTTTCCTTTTTTTAAGTTATAACRAAAATCTGCTTCATTTCATGATATGGAAGAGGTTTTCTGTAGTCCATTTAGTATCAGAACTGGAGGTATAAGATATCAAATATTTGACATTTGAAATACCACAATGTGAGCTACTACGTATCATTGAACATCTCATTGCCCAAACTCTTGGTCAGAGAATGAAGTGGAAAAAACCTCCATCATCTTAAACAATAATAATAAAAAAAATTGATTTCAAGAATTGGAATTTCCAGATACACTTTGTATCACTTCCAAAGTGATGTAACACTTCCAAAGTTAAAAAGAATTAAGTGCTAAAAAGTTTATCATAGGGACATTCTGATTTCTAAKAATTACTCTGATTTCAAATTAACACGGTCACAACATAATTTTCAGCTAGTTGTCCTGGTTATTCACATGGTACAGTCTGCTAAACGTTTAGCCTATATTTTAATCCAAAACACATGTGGAAGATGGAATGATAGTCTTAAATTGCCTGGGCTCACTGTTCTTCCTCAGGTCTGTTTCTGTAATAAAATTTTGCTGCAATTAAACTGCCCGGCCGTTGCAAACAAGTGACATCTAAAGTCACGCCGGATACTCAAGTTATTTATTTAGAGCGACGGCACTGGGTTGGAATTTGTTTCTGTTGGCTTCGCCACGCGGGTTCTGTGCCCGTAACGGGGGAAAGCTGCATCCGTGGGCACGGAGAGGCAGAGCTATAATGCTCACATAAAAACCTGCAGAATTGTACTGCATATATGGGAGCAGTGTTAATATATTGGCTTACACCGCTGAAGTTTGTCATTTTCCATTGGGACATTTTGAGCAAGTAAGGGCAATTTTGGCTGTGCATCTAAAACTTCTTTAACTTCTCTTATGAGCTTTGTGCAGCACCAGACCCTGCAAGGGAATGCAACAGATTCATTTCTCCGAGGGGATTTTCAGCTTCCCAAATCATGGATTTCTCCCAGCCCCATCTCCCTCCAGGGAGGCCCATAGAGGCCGGGGCATCTCCCCGTCACTGCACGGCTCCGTTTCGTGGCACGATCCCCATTCATTTCCCAGGGTTGCTCCATGCCAAGGTAGGACTGTCAGAGGGGTAAAAAGCATGTCACTTCTTTAAGAAAACCCCAATACTCTCCTTATGCCCCCCACCCTAGATATAGTGAGGACAAACAAAACTTTATCAACGTATTTTAGTCCACCCATTTCTGCATGTCTCAGAGGTTGGCATTACAATATTAATATCTTTTCCACATAGGAAATTRCCATCAAAAATAATCTGATGTTGGAAAATGCTGCCCAACAGTTAGAAAGAACCAGATATAGGCATTTGTTTGGAACCCAAGGCCTCCACTGAGCTTCGTTTCCGAAAATCATATTCTCTGTGTTCCAGAGAAAAACCCTGAARCAAAGTGCCCTTTCCTCAGAACAGAAACAAGTAAGAATCCAAGAAAAAAAAAAAGTGAATACTTTCTCCCTAAGGCAACATTATTGCTATTGAGATCTTAAAGTTATTTCAAAAATATAAAYATGTGAAAATGCTCATAATCACAGAGGGGGTAAAAGCCACCACTCATCCTCCAAAAAATAAGAAGGTTTAAGAATGATAAAAGAGAAGGATTTTCATTATTCATTATTATAGGCTCAAATTTCTCTCTGCCTTGCTGCCAGCTCTTGGAGCACCGAAATGATGCCGGGCTGTCGATGGGGATATGACACAAATGGAAGGGAGCAGAGTACCTGCTTCAGCAGGGAACCACCTGAAAGTCCCAGGCATCAGTTATGAAAATACCAGCAGACCCCCAGTCAGAAATTCGACTGCAGAAGCAGCATCAATTGTGGCTGCACTTTCAAGGAAGACCGATAGCTGCTGATGGGGCCAAAAGCCAGACATTACCATAGGTGTGAATGTGGAGACAGCTCTTTCTTTGGGAAAACTTAGGAAAAAAGTAGCAGCTACAAAATGCACCTGGAGTAACACTGAAGACTTTCCCAGCTTAGTGGTGCAATATTCCATATACTTTTGCAGGGAAAGCCTCACTTCTGTTTATTTAAAACTGCATTCTAGTCGCTCCTCTCAATGACTGAGAGTGCAGATCTCTGCCCTRTTAGGAAAGAGAAATTCCCTTTGGAATGTGGGTCTCCAAACAGTCCGAGACATTTCCAGAGGCTGCCTGGTCTGCTGCATTTGCACTGACCTGCTGGAGCCAGGGCTACACACGAGCCCTGCAGGGAAGAAAGCGCCACGCTCCTCACAAAGAGAAACGACATTTTATAATTAGCTTATTTTCCATCTGGGAATTTGCCTTCCCCAATCTGCCTCAGATGCAGGAATAAACCTCAGCTAGGCTCACAACAAAACCAGAGCTCATGAACCTCACAAAATGCCTCGCTTTGCAGGGATAATGGCTGTTTGTACCAGGGAGCTTGCACGGGTCCCCAACATGTCTCCCACAGCAAGTCCCAAGCACGACTTTTTAAAATGCCCTTGGGAAAACCCGYGCTCTTAATGCTCACAGGGTCTCTGCAAGCCATTCAGCACGAGRGCAGCCACACTCCCGTGGCTGATACCGTCAGGGCACACGGTCTCCACCACCTACATAAATGCAGGGGCAAGAGGCAGCTGAGCACAAGGGCCTTGGTTGCCCTCTCCAGCTCTTCTGAGCTCAGCCTCCTTGCAAGGAAACAAGCCAGGCTCCTCATTATCTACGGAAAGCTACTTCCCACTCCTCTCCTCCATAAAAAATAAGGAAAAAAGGCACTCCGGGAGCAGCCTCAGCTGTTTCTAGTCTATTCATCTCTTCTTCCTTGGGAGCGAAGGGAGTGTTGCCCATGCAGGCTATGCCCTGGGGGCACCCCCGCCTCCTTGCAGACCCGGACAAATTCCCAAAGGCACCGCAGAGCACGAGGCTCTTCCTGCTGCTGCCAACTTGCCTCTTGCTGGATCTTTTCTGTATGCCAGCTGCCACAAATGATTCAGATGGGAAAGCAGAGTCAAAGGGATAATTTCCTTCTAAAATTAAATGCAGCCCTGAAACTTCAACAGAAATTAGAGGATTAACTGAGCTTTCAGTTTAGGAACTGAAATAAAGCTTGACATTTACCAAGGAAGCTCAGAAGCACAGAGAAACTGCAGAGCAGTTGTCACTGTAGTGGCAAAGAAAACAGGGAAGCACAGTGCRGGCTTGAGCTCTGACATTTGAATGAAGATCTTAAGTTATAATTTATATGAGAATTTCTATATTCACACATCCAGCAGAGAGACTGAGACCAATTTTTCTGACTTGCAAGCGTCGCGATAGAAGAAAGAGAAGGTGTCACCTTGAATGTCATCGTTGAAAGTGCAGTAYTTGTTACGGTATTTGGTCAGCAGGCGGAAGGCATTGGCATTAGCAAAGTCCTCAAACTGAATAAGGCAGTTCATGCTGTACCTGGAAGCACAAAACATGGTATGTTTACAATAAAATAACACACAACTGTACACCAAAACCTTACTGGCCTTTGCAGTCACTCTCTTCTGTGAAAAACACATTTCTGTSTTTTTACTTTCATATAAATTCACTAAAAAGCATAATGCAAGATGCTAATATGCTGTACTGGGCTCTAAGTTAAGAATAAARGATTGGAGAAGAGGCCTTCATCACAACAAAAGTCTTCGCCAAGCAATCAGTTACAAGCTGTAAAACTCTGACTTGCTTAGAATCAATGTTAGCAATTGATTCAATGTTGTTCATCCACCTCCTTCTGTAATATTGCAAGCTRGTGTGTCCTATAAAATGTTGATATCTTTTGTAAATACTGTAGTTTGAAAATATAAAGTGCAGATCACAGAATCACGGAGTCACAGAATGGTTGAGGTTGGAAGGGACCTCTAGAGATCATCTGGTCCAACCCCCTGCTCCAGCAGAGACAACAACTTGGATAAGGAACCGTGCCCCCCTGCACACCAAGGCCGTGCTACCAGGGAGCAAACTGCAGGATTTTTCCAGTTTAGTCCCGTGTCTATGGTTACTTCAACAGGCATCAGGCACCTCAAACACATCTAAAATCATCTAAGTCAGAAATACAGAAGTATGAAGGGAAAAAAAAAAAAAAAAAAAGCTATGGAACTTCAGATTCCTGGCACTAGGCTCTTAATTCCTCCTCTCCTAATATATCAATACTTAGCAAATAAGAAATGAACCTGATGCACTAATAAGGTTACTCCTAAAAGGAGAGTTAAGTATAAGCAATTTAATATTCCTGCTATGCATCCTGAAGTCCTTTAAAGCATTTCTTAAYGTTTTCTCTGCACTTCTTGCTCCATATCCCCATATGGCATTTTAAAACGCTTGCTTAAAAATATCACAGACGTTTCTAGACTAGGTAAAGACTGAATTCAAGCTCTGGACACGTCGGCAACAGAATACTGGCATACTGCCAATCTCATACAGAAAAATATTGACCTCCCAAAAGCTGAAAATTTAAGGTCGATACTAAAACTTCCTACATCTATTTGAATGTGGAAATACGCACATGAAGAATATTCCCCATCATGAATTAACAGTACAAGAAAAGTTAAGTGCTTTAAAATGAATATAAGCAAGCTGGGCAGGCTAAAAATCCATATGATGGTAATACACGAGTGTTGCTATAAAAACTTTCTACCTAAAGGGACTAATAGGGCACGATCTCAAAAGCACATGGCCTATTTGAGCTACAGGGGTTCATCTGTTAACAGTGCAAGGCCAACGGATACAGTCAAGCAATTCCCATCTCATCCAGAAAAGCAACACATATGAACACTGGGCAATTCCCTATAAATACTCAACTGTGGTGTTCATCACAGCTTTTCTTTAAACCATACGTAAACCATAAAAAAGGCACACAAAATCCCGCGACTAACTTAATTTCCATGGAAATTACATATTTACAGCTTTAGTACAATTAGCCAAAACCACCAGGACTCCACTGGCAGGAATGGAAATCCCTGCCGAAAATAAGCATACCTTCAGGTTTTGTGGAAAAATCTGGACTTCTTCAGCAGCAGAACGGCAGAGAACCGTGTAAAAGAGAATTTGGCTGGTCGGTAATTCAGCACAGTAAATCACAACCGAGCTCAAATGGGAAAAGAGATTGGAGCTACTTTTTAATAATTAATTTAGATTTCTAACCTGATTTACTATCTGACTTGAATTTCTGTGATTCCACAAGGATCCAGGAGCTGACAGTTGGCTAATAAATTGAAACTAATGAGATTAACACTCTGGAATCCTGGAACTTGGTTACGAGAGTTTTTGATGTCATTAAGCCAACGTCTGTTACTTTATTTTGCCATATATAATGTTCCATTTTCTCATCTGTGCTTGATATTTCCCAATTTCTTATCCCATGACTTCTGTCTGTAGCCACCCTGGGAATTATATTAAATCAATATCACAGAATCACAGAATGGTTAAAGTTGGTTCTTTATTGCTTGCCCATCTGAAGTTATCAAATCCTTGGGAAGGGACTTGATGTTATCCCTTCCCAAAGAGCAGACAGCCTTCAAAGACATGACAATCTTAGGATCTTTCATCAATGCTCCAGACAGACTCAGACTTCCCTTCACTGAAGAGAATAGATTCCCTTCACTGGATTTCCTCTGGGGACACGACGTGGCTCAAGGTCTAGAAGCAAACAACTGAGATCCGCTACAAGGGGTATCAACAGTTTTTCAAATCCTGTTAAATCCTTGTGGTTGACGGCTACCTGGTACCTGTTAAAGGCAAAGAGCCTGCAGCTGAGCACCTGCAGCTCCAGGCAGGACAAGAAAGGCATTGCAGAACTTGAGGGTGACACATCCCATACTAGATATCCACGTGCTCTCAGAGGTGTGTGTAGCTGCTCTCACGCTGACAATACCTTCACCCTGCTACATCAGCTCTACAGTACTCCCTCCTCCTGAAACGTGTGGTGCTGCAGAAGGGGCCGGCATTTGGTAGAGCTCTCCCAAGCATCCACCTTGAACTTCACTAGATGCAGTACTGGAGGTGACCTATATTCTCCTCCCAAAATTCAATCAATTAACCAAACAATGAGCTTCCAAACARTTCAGTTACGTTCAAATTCAGTTACTAGCCAAACTGCCAGAGCGCACCACTGCCCTGCACCTCGGTCACTCCAAAGAGTCTTCTTGTGCTGTTCTTGGAAGGGGCAAACATTCACGCCCTTCCTCCTAGCGAGACCCAACTACTACTACTGATTCAAAAGGCTGTGTAGAATAATCTCATTTTCATTCTTAAAAGTCAGCTCTCAATAACTTCTCTGTTTGCTCTCTGCATATTGGTAGGTGTGAATCAAGACTTCAGTTCCTTCTTTTTTACTCCTACCTTAAAACCTGCCGTTTATCATTGTCTACCTGAGTCCRTAGACAATATCAGCATAGAGTGGTGAACTTAACCTAGCACCTTGACAAGGGCACAGGAATCAAGGATTCCTGTCATAACTTAACTCCACACATGGTATCTGCTGAGGCCRCGTTCTGGACTCGGTTCTAGTCTGGCATGTCACACTGGTTCTTAAGGAAAGGCCATTTATTACTCCAGTATCAACAGGAGCAACACAGTCTTCACTGGTCTTCTCTGTACTGCTCAYGTTCCTGTCTTCAGGGCAACTGCCCAAATTTGTACTTGAATGCACTGAGGTAAAATCTGCCTCATTTGGTTTCATATGTGTTGGGCTAAGCTCAAATTTCACCACCTACCACAAGCAGAGTCCCAGGAGCAAGCAGGCCTTTTTATACAGTAACAGTGCTGCAAACAGGAGTCACATTTAATGTATCACACCTTATCACTGGTCCCAAACAGAGACAACATTTCCACAGCTATCACATACTTCTGACTTAGGGACACATACGGGATAACTGTGGAAGTGAAGAAACACACACATAGCCTACATGTTCACATGAAAAAAAAGTGGTAAAAATAAATTGAAGGGAGAATCTCCCTGATGGCCATCAAGTGTCTTAACCAGATCATTTAAAGAAATAAAAGATCTAGCCCTAGATTACCCAAAGCTAAGAAAATAAATGAAATAATAAATGAAAACCAGGAATATATTCTCTCCATTGGCAACCTTAACAAATGTCCTAGTGAAATCTTCTAGTGAATCTGTAACAATTTTCTTGCTCTGGAACATGTTTTCCCTAGAGCAGTATCTTGGGCTTCACYGTCATGGAAAGATGGCTGGGTTCTAGCAGGCATGAGTTTTGCAGTTGTGAATTCCTCCTTTCTGCTTGTTTTGCATCTGTCACTATGGCAGCTGATGAAACATAAATAGTCCCTAGAAAGGGATAATTCAGATCACTGCTTTCCCTGGTAAATCCTGTTTTGTCACCCACATCTTCTTGTGTACTTGGATCTTCGCCTCTTGCTCAAAGTCATACAAGAAGTCTGAATCCGAACCAAACTGGAGAGAAACTCAAAGCCCATCATGGACAAAGAATGTGGACTACAGTGCTAGCGAACACGCAACTTTGTATTTTCATCATCATTTTCATCCAGTACAGAAGGCAAACATTGGACGAGGAATTAAAAAGAACCAGCTCACCAGAATAATGTGTGGCTGACAGAAAAAAAAAGTTTCCAATACACAAAGTACGTAATGAATCAGGGGTAGTAACAGGCTTAGCTGTATTCACTGTCTGCCCAATTTATACATTCATTTATTTTCATCTGTGACAACAACATTAATCTTTGCAATAATTCTATAGATAGTATCTTTATGTAACATACTGAAGAAGAGTGTCCACAGCCCCATAACCATGTCAAGCATATAATACAAGCATTTTGGCAAACCTATACTCTTAAGAACCTCAAGCAKGGAATACCCTAAAGAATCCAATGAGAGCTATAAAAGCTTGGGCATCATCTTGAATTCAAACCATATGATCAGTAAAATACATGCTTACTTTCACAGCTCAGGAATTTTTCTGGAAATATATTTGGATCATTTGTTGTTACTGCCAGCCATTGTTTTGGAAACCTTCCTAAAGGAACAAGTGGTTACTTTTTAGGCAGTAGAGCTTCCAAAAGCTTATTTGCCCATTTTCTTTTTTTTTTTCATGTGGGCTTGGAGCTGAAAAAGCTTTAGAAACATCAGAAGTGGTTGCTGACACTCATTCCTAGGAAGGAGCAAAACCAAATCGATAGCAACACTGGAATTCTCTGCCTCTCCTCATGCGTCAGTCGGCCGTGCCGGCAGCCAGAGCCATTTATAGTGTCCCAGGACAATATGGAAATCAGCTCATTCCTGCCTATGCCGTACACTTGGAGCTTGCTAGTTTCCATATATCCCACTGTTTTAAATGGATTTAAAGCGTAATGGTCACTACTATCTCCTCCCTGTGCCAAGGCTTTCAAGAAAAGCTGCCTTCCCACCTCCCCTCCTAGCAGACACTGTGAGGTGGAGG